CCTAAAATATTTTGATTAAAAGAAAATATATAAAAGTGGGCAACGCTGTGCCGGTCAAGCTTAATCACGTGACTAAAAGCTTATTTGATAAGAACTATATTATGTTTATATTCATGAATTAGAGACCGAATCTACATCACTAAATACCATTTTTGAGAGGTTTTTTTTGACACATTTGAATTTAATTAGAATTTTGCAGATTTCTTGAGATTATTTTATATTATTTTTGTTTATTTTATAACCGCTTTGATGCAAAATGTACAAAGTTGGAAAAGCATTGTGTCACGACTTTAATTAGAGAAAGATTATTACGAATCTCTTAGAAAAAAGCTTTATTAGATATAGTTATTGTGCAGCGTACCTACGATCTTTTCAGGCAATGTATTTTAGTTATGACAAAATCATATATTGATAAACTATTGGCAACGTTGGGAGAATATAGTAGCGGTAAAAGAAATTCAAAAATAAAGACGTCTTACTGAATAGAAGCCATAGAAATCAAGACTGCGTTCTAGATATGCATATATGGATGTGTTGATTTATTTGATATGTGGATGTGTTCTATTTATACAACAAAAAAGATCTAGGTATTTCACTAGGTAATAATAAAATATCTTAATTAAACCATTTGTTATAATACTTGAGTTTACCGTAAAGATATGTAGTAATATGATACCACAGAGTACAACATAAAGAAATGTATAATATATAAATAAAAAAAAGTAATAGACATAGATCAAAATGTAATTGTCGGTATGATATTATGACAATAGTCACCTAAGCCGTGATCAAGGGCCGTGATATTGAAAAATAATATTAAAAAGTAACGATAATTGAAAAATTTGCAAATAGTTAGTGGCAAGTTCATTTCACTCTTAAAAATTAACCAGGAGATTTTGTTGACCTGTACCAAAAAATTATACTGATCGAAAAATAATGTTTTATGAAAATTTGCTAACGAAATTATTGTACAGGGTGTTTAAAGTTAGGGTAAAAAATAACTCATCGATACTACTATAGTCTGTCCAACGAGAAGATCCTTGACGGTGATAGATGTGTCTGTCATTTTAATTTCAAAGTAGTTTATTTTATTTTACAAAGAAATAAGTTGGTATAACTGGAACGCATAGCAGGAAATTAATATATGTATTTAAAATTTGACTGACAAGTAACTTCAAAATATTGTGAAAAAAACTGTATAAAACTGAAAAAATATAATCGAGTTATTTTATTTAATAAAAAACGGTATGTGTTAATACAAAACGCAGGGTATTTGACAAAAGTTGTCACAAAATTATAACCTATAATTTGGCAAGACTTTGACAAACGTCAAAAATCTAAAGGCGAGTTCATGCGCATCGGCGTCCGTTTGTCGTTCATCGTTCCGTCAAACCAATAAAATTGAAATACGATCTGTCATTTTTGAAATAAACCAATAAAACTGATTAAAAACAACAAGTGACGACGTATGACGAATTTATATTTAAACCCATCCATAGTTAACTTAAAAATTATTAGAAACTTTTTTTAGTAAAATAAATAGATTGGTATGGGACGTCATCTGCTTTTCTTCTGTCATCGTCTGTCGAAATCTTACCTGAGAAAAAAAACAGAGTACATATACACACACCGGAAAAATCTAGGGATATCATTTTATTAAAGTTAAAAATAAATGTTTTGAATAAACAACCACATATTTGTAGGCCGATTCTTTCTACTTCGATTGAAACGAAGTAGTCACACTAGTTATTTTTAAATTTGGGATATTTGCAGAAGTGTTTGTGCATTTTTTGTCAAATGTATAAAAAGCACCTAGCATCAATTGTTCAAATTTAACCTGTACTGGCTATGTTTTTATGACAAACAAAAAACTTGATCATCAATCAACTGACCAAAATTCATTCAAATGACTCTGTTTAGTATTAAACGACATTATGGAGCGTAGACATCTTAACAGAGACGAAATGCTAAGAGCCATGGGTATGCTCGAAGCTGGAATGCGCCAAATCGACGTAGCTAGAGCATTAAATACAACGCAAAGTGTAATATCGCGATTAAGTGCACGCTACCGTGAAAGTGGTGATGTTGCTGAAAGGCACACAGGGCGACATCGCATTACTACCCCTCAGCAAGATCATTTTTTACAATTAAATGCTTGACGCCGACCGACTCTTACAGCACCAGAGCTTAGTTTAATCTCCAGGTAACACATAATGTAACCGTTAGTCCTGATACTGTTCGCAATAGATTAAGAGAGGTCAACTTAAGAAGCAGACGCCCCTGGGGAGCTCAACCCTTAACGAGAGGAAATCGAGAGGTACGATGATGAGTCACGCTTTGGAATTCATCGGGATTCGAGAAGGCTTAGGGTATGGAGAGAACCGGGAAATCTTATTCGGTTGGATCATGTTCAGGAAGTGCACCCTTATCAAGGTGGAACAGTTATGGTCTGGGGAGGAGTCCAGTTAGGCCGAAAAACCGATCTCGTTTTTCTTGAAAGGCTTCTAACAGGAATCACATATCGTGATTTAATTCTTGAGCTTGTCGTGTTACCATATGCCAATAATTTTGGGAGAAACTTCATTCTCATGCATGACAATGCACGGCCTCATACAGCCAGAGTGGTTAGTGAGTTTATCAATGCTCATCAATTAAACATCTTACCCTGGCCGGCACAATTTCCTGACCTCAACCCCATCGAGCACGTACGGGACGCGGTCCAAAGAAGAATTTTGAGAATGGGTATGCCTCGTGAAACTCGTAGAGATCTGGTTTGGGCCGTGAATGCAGCGTGGCAGGCTGTACCTCAAGAAGAGATCGACAACCTGATCAGGAGCATGGAGAGACGACGTAGGGCTGTAATGAACAGTAGAGGAGGCCATTTTTTAAGTAAAAATGGTTTTATCTTTTTTTTTAATTCACAGTTTAGAATTTAAAAAAATGTGTGTATTTTTTTCAAATCAATAAAAATCAAGGTAAATTTGAAAAATTCGGTAAATTTCGCATTTTTATTTTCAATACGTCCTGTAAACTATTTGTTTATTTTAATTTTATTATATCAGAAATGCAAATAATAAAATTACTGACGATGGCTGCATAAAATTGTAATATTCCTAGACTTTTCCGGTGTGTGTATAATACTACTATAAGCTAAATAATAAAGTTTATAAGTTTCCTCAATAGCCCGCAAATTTTGTGAAATACCAACCAAAATACACACTTTTATGCAAATGCCTAATAATGTTAACGCTTAAATTTAGTTAAGAAGAGAAAACATTTTGAACCTAACCAACAATTTATATTTATAGTGGTTTCCAGTAATTTTGTTAAATTATACGAATATTCTAGTTGATTATTGGTTTGAAATAAATATGACGATGTCCTTCAATGAAAATGTGAGTTGCTTAACTCTAATAATTCTAATTCTGGGCTAGCAAATGAACTAAATGCTTTACATAGACCGTTATTCAGAAGCTACAAACCTATCGATGAAAATGTGCATGAAAATTTACTTCCTAACACACAACCAGAGGATATTGGGATCCAGGTACAGCATGAAGTTTATTATAATGCTTTTCTTAGCTTTAAATCAAATGTTCTTTGGTGTTTGCGCGACCTTTACCACTTTTTTTCTCGCTAGCTCGTGCGTTAAGGCATGGTCAAGGCCGTAGTGTGTAACGGCCTTGAAGTTTTACTACCAGCGCGCGTAAAAAAGTTTCACTTCAAAAAACTGAATTTATATAAATTAAAGTAGATATATTTATATACAGTTTGATAAAAAAAAATCTTAAAAATAGGACTAAAAATAAAGAAAATATGATACTTTAAATTTGACGAAAAAATTCTCCGTTGCGTTTTTTTTGCATCTCAGGCTATATGAAATAACGACTCTTCCTGAAATATTTCAGTCACATTTCTCATACCCGGATATTTTTCAGATAAACTAATTAATAATCCAGCGATCTAAGCTGGTCATTAGCGAATATATTCGCTAATAAACTGAAATATTAAATATTAATGAAAAGAAATCAATCAACCGCGCTATCCTAAGCATGCGTTCCTATATAACATCGCCTAGGTTCATCTTCACACGGGTAAAATGACGCGATGGTTTTTTTTTACTTTACGTCACCGCACGTAAACCCATATTAAGGAATTTGGATCGATTAATGATTAATAATTTTCGTGACTTTTACATATTGCACCTAACTGTACATGCGGAGAGGAGTTTTTTTACGGAAGACGATGTAAATGTTTGATAAAAATTGGTTTTTAATTCTATGCTATAGAGATTGAAAAGTTTAATAAATGTAATGTAACGGATGTTCTTGCGTAATTTTTATACTTTAGTGCAGTACAAAAAAAAACGGTAGTACACTTGCCGGCACCATAACATTTTTATGTACAGGGTGTCCCATTTTAGTTGAAGTCAAACTGTATCTCCGTTGTTAGTAAAGATAGAAGGATGCGGTTAGCACAAACCTGTCCCACAGGCCAAACTTTTTGCCAAACGGAAGATGGTGCAAACAAAATTTTCATAGCCCTTTTCGTTTTTGAGCTACAGGGTCTTTTCGAAAATTATGCAATTTGGGACACCCCCCAGTGGCGGATACAGAGGGGAGGCCATGGAGCCCGGGCCCCCTCTTAAATCTGTAAATTGTGTTAAATATTTGGCTTTTGGGTTAAAAACGGCGCCCTAAAAAGCATATTCTACATTACTTTTTATTTTGGCCCCCCCCCTAAAATAAATTCCTGTATCCGCCCCTGACACCCCCTGTATCTTTACTATTGTTAAACGTATCGAGAAGATGAAAACTGTTTATTGTAGAACTTTGTACGTATAATACAGTGGCGTAGTCTGTTTTTCTAGGAAAAATATATTTTTGAAAATATGAACTAACGTTATGTTTTTCAATCATTTTCTTATTAGTAGGCCGTGATAAATAACAAAAAAATCAAAATGGTATTTACTAAAATAGTCATTTTTTTAACAAATCAGTTCATAATGTCCTTCGCCGTCTTCTGATTTCCAGTCTCCATTGGTCTCTGTCTGTCCAGAGGTTTTCGCCTATTCCTCTTGTTCTGATGTCCCCGTCTATTCCTTCTCTCCAACTCCGTCTATATCTCCCTCTCTTTCTTTTGCCTTGTGATGTCCAATTGAGTATTTTCTTTGGGATTCTGCTCTCTTCCATTCTTTGTGCGTGCCCATACCACCTGAGCTGGTTAATTTTGATGTCTTCTATTATTCTGTGTTTAACGCCCATTATGTTCCGAATTTTTTCATTTCTTGCTCTATCCAGTTTCCCGGCCGCGCATCTCCAAAAGTCCATTTCTGTAGGTTCGAGTAAAGTTTTTTCTTTCAAAGACCATACTTCACTACCATAGCTAATTATGCTTTTAACTATGCTGTAATAAATTTTGTGTTTGTTTTGTTTTGATGCTGCCTTAGCCCTTAAAATAAATGTTGAGTTGTCTAATTGCTTGTCTTCCGTTGTTGTTTCTGCACTTAATTTCCTCATCAAGGCTACCATCGTTGGTAATGGCATACCAAGATATTTATATTTTGAGCAGTGTTTTATCTCTTGCCGTTGCTGTTCTACGATTAAGTTCTGTTGTTCGCCGTCGATACACATATTCCGTCTTCTTAAGTTTACCTCCAGCCCCCTTGTTATACTCTTCAATTAGTTTGCGGGTCATATATTCCAGGTCCTCGTAGTCTTGAGCCAGTATTATTTGATCATCAGCGAAACAAAGAGTGCAAAGTGTAAAATGTGAGTCGTTTAATGGTATCCCATCTGTGCGCACTTTCTTTACGTTTTCAGTGCTTGTTCTTATAAAGTTCTTAAACAGCCTTAATTAATGTTATGCTGATATTTGTTTTCTCGAGAGCTCCCCACTTAGACTGGGGTACACTATCATTTGCTATCTTGAGGTCTACGTAAAGGAGATGTATTTCTTGATTAAATCAATTTGGACATCACAAGGCAATTTTCTTGTAATATTTTTCCGAATTATCTTTGTCAGTGTGAATAAATGGTCGACCGTGGATCTACCAGCCCTAAATCCAGCCTGTTTTTCAGCCTCCATATCCAGGTATTCTTCCTCAATTCTCCTTTTGACCCATTTTCCATAGACTCTTGAAACAGTGGTCAGCATGGCCATTCCTTGACAGTTATCGCAATCGTCTATACTTCCTTTCTTGTGTATTGTTTTGTTATATATGATATTTTCTATTCTTTCGGTATATTTTTACCATTAGAGCACTTTTGGAAAAGGCTAGCGAGCTACTTATACAGGGTTGTTCACCACATACGACACGGAGTATTGTAGCTAAACGATGAGATTTTTACAAATTGTAAGTTTTGGGTTCGATGAAGGACTATTAGAGGTACAATTTAAAAATAATTTTACAAGATACAGAGTGTCCCAAATAAGTAAAAAATATCAAAGTTGTATTTTTTTAAATGGAACACCCTGTATATTATTACATTTTTAGTTTCTACGATTAAAATAAAGGTAAATTTGATTAAGATTTATTATACTTAAACCTTACCGTTTTTGAAATATTTTCAATTTTGCGAAATTGCAGTATAAATTTTAAGGCTTCATTTCGCCGAGGATATCAAAGTTTTTAATACTAAATATTTACTGAAGTTTATTTATTGATCAGCTATTGTGTTGCAATAATAAAAATTATACTACCTTATACAGAGTGTCTAAAACTTTATTTTAAATAATTACTAGCTTTAAACGGCAATAACTTATTTAATTTAAATAGAACACCCTGTATATTTTATGAGAATCAGATGCACAATTTAATTGTCTATCAAATTGTATTATACCACTTCTTACCTACTCCTTCAAGTTTTCGTAGAATATGCATTTTCTTATAATTTAGACCTCATTTATCAATATACCCATGGAAAATTGACATTTTAGATTGTTTTTAAAACAACAAATGTACAAAATGTACAGGCTAGTAATATTATCGTTTTTAGTAAAACGATAATATTACTAGCCTATTTGTATGCAAAAAGAAAACTATTTAAATCTTTATAAAAGAGTGTACCATTAATTAAATATACCACCAGTATTTCTGCCCATATACTAATTAACTACATACTTAATTGTGTTCGTTAATAAATTATTCTAAATAAATGTGGATTTGAATCAGAAATCAATATAATAATAAGTTATGAAAATGAACGTCTCTGTTGTTATAAATAAGCATTTGTCAAAAAATTAAATATCATTTTTAAGGTGTTACTTTTTACCACACTGTCTAATACACATACATAATTCAGTTTTTTAGTTTTTGGAGCAATTATTATTAATCAACGCAAACAGTCAATTAATGTAGTTTGAATACTGGAATCATATTAATTGGTCCTCTTTAACAAATATTTAAACAGTTTTTTTTTATTTTTTAATGAAATAAACGAACTATATCGACAATATTAGTATTTGTACTCTTTAAAAATTTGGTACATCTTTAAAAATAATCTAAAATGTCAGTATTCCATGGGTATATTGATAAATGAGTTCTAAATTACAAGAAAATGCATTTTCTACGGAAACTTGAAGAGATAGGTAAAAAATGGTATAATACAATGATAGACAATTAAATTGTGCATCTGATTCTCACAAAATATACAGGGTGTTCCATTTAAATTAAACAAGTTATTGTCATTTAAAGCTAGTAATTATTTAAAATAAATTTTTAGAGACCCTGTATAAGGTAGTAAAGTTTTTATTATTGCAACACAATAACTGATCAATAAATAAACTTCAGTAAATAAATTTAGTATTAAAATCTTTGATACTCTCGGAGAAATGAAGCCTTAAAATTTATAATGCAATTTCACAAAATTGAAAATATTTCAAAAACGGTAAGGTTTAAGTGTAATAAACCTTAATCAAATTTACCTTTATTTTAATCGTAGAAACTAAAAATGTAATAATATATCGGGTGTTCCATTTAAAAAAATAAAACTTTGATATTTTTTATTTATTTGGGACACTCTGTATCTTGTAAAATATTTTTAAATTGTAGCTCTAATAATCCTTCAACGAACCAAAATTTACAATTTGTAAAAATCTAGTCGTTTAGCTACAATACTCCGTGTCTTATGTGGTGAACAACCCTGTATAATTATTTTTATTTTCAGAGATACCAACTAATCCCATCTAAGGAAAAATTAAATTTCAAATACTTTCCGTCCTACGAACGATGGTAAAAGTACAATTACTCCGGCCATCATCTTCTTCTTTTTACTTTTTTTTCTTCTTCTTCGATATGATATCCCGGAAAATATTATATAGTATTTATGTTCTTCCCTCTACCAACCGAATACTTCTAGATGGAATTTAAGAAAGTGAATAGAGTCAAAGTGATGTATTTCTTCCTATTTAGCCCGCACCTGTACAGGGCGACGTGGAGAAATGGACTACTTCTTCTGCAAAGTGCCAAAGTGGATATTTTATCCGTCGAAATATGCGTACAGCGAGACCTGAGACATACAGAACAGTTAGAAATGTATTGTAGCTCGGAAACTGTTGTTATCGACACCGTTTTGCCATATTGGTAAAGTGAAAACACGTGTCGATTGTAGTAATAATATACTAGGTGTCCAGAAAGGGTGTTTATAGCCTTTAAATATATCGTTGTTTAGATACAGAGCGACCCACAATGATTGAATTAGTTGGCAATACGTTTTTAGAGGAGTTTAAGGTTGGTGATTGCTATACAGAGCTGCAAGTTCAAAGAAAACTTAAGACTTTTTATTTATTTAAATCGTTTTCCATTAGAAAAAAACAAAACTTTGATGTGTAACTTTTTTTGGGGACACCCTGTATAATTCTATATATTTTTATAAAATGCTTTCAGTTAACCTACACATGCTGCCAAAATTTCACTTCGATATAAACTACCGTTCTCCTTGGAGCTTCCGCGGCGTATGAGAGACGCCACCCTGTACAAATTTTTTAAATTTATTGCCAATCCAATCAGAAAAATCACAGAAGAGCTACACTGCTGCAACCATTTTGGATCACTTTGTATATAGAATGTCTTTATCTTTTTAAATCGGCAATTAAAATTTTCTTAATTATTTCTTTGTTATGTAAATTCCAAAGTAGGTACTTATTCTGTAATCGATACTGATACCTGTCACAACATAAATTTACCTAATTCCTGTTTTTTATTGGGTGCAGTTAACGATCCAATCGATACAATTTTAATATAAAACGTTACAAGTCGATATCAGTTCGATTAGAATCGATGCAATAAAACCCGAAATGGGAAACTTAATAACGTGTAAATATTCAGCTTCCTATTTGGTTTCATCACCGTATCGCAATTATTCTAAATTGGAACAGGCGTTAAAATTTAACGCTACCAGTCGTAAATTTTTAAGGCCATATTTTTTTCAAAATTTTTATTGACTTACAAAACTAATATAACTTACTTATCTCTAAAACCTAATATAATCTACTTCTACAGGGTGTCGCATATAAGAATGCACGCTACAGGGATCTTTTAAACCGGAAGGAATACGATTTAAGGCTAACTAGGCAGTAACCGCCATTAAAAAATAAAGAAGAGTATGGGTCAAGTAAATAAAGTCTAGGGCTTGACCTCGCCAAAATTATTATCGATTGTCATTACCCAGACGTCTTTGACGCCGTTTTTTTTTTCAATGGTATGGTAGTTTATAAAGAAGACCGATCAGGTTATTTATTACAAGATTAAAAAAAAAATTAAAATTTCTGAAAAAAATTTTATTCAAAAATGTCTGGAGTCTAAAACAATGTAAAAGTTCAATTTCATTAAAAAAATATCTACTCGTGTCAGTCGATTTGTTTCTATAATTTTTTTTCTTAAACATCTGTGGTTTTCTAGCACTTAAATACTACCATTATAGGTACTGCATCATCCACAAATTGTACCTATATAAGGTAACTCATTAACTCTTGAACTTTGTAACGATAATGTAACTAGAAATTCTATTGTGTAGGAAACATTAGACATAAAGGCTAGTACATTATCTAAATCAAATATAATTATAGTTAAATATAAGTGAAATTCTTATGTTTTATAAAGATTAAATATCGGAAGATTGATAGATATAAAGTGTTTCAAATTTTAAGTCATCAGATAGATTGGTTCTAATATTTTTATGTTTTAGTTAGAGGCCTATGCCAGATGGCAGTAAAGGAAAACAAAACAAAAGTATTTAAGTGTGGAGGATGTTTGAAGATCATAATTATTGAAACACTTTAACCAACTCTGTAACTCGTTACCCAAGGCAAAAAAGTTAAACGCAAACAACTTTATTGATAAATGTATTGTTTCTACTTTGAAAAATACTAATGGGCCTTAAAATTAAAGAAGTTTTAAAAAAATTCTTGAATTTTTTTTTAGTAGAATGAGAGTAATTTATTCGCAGTCGAAAAAAAATTGTTTCCGCGTGTTGTTTACGGTCAAATATTTCAAGTTAATGTATTCAAAAAGCAGGAATTGCTATTTTAGGAACGAAACATTTTCTTATTCAACAACATGGCGGCTTTCACTTTGTTGTTTTGGAGATTAAGATGGAGTAGTTCGAGTAGTCCCATACTGGACTAATAAAGTCGGAGTTCAGCCTTAACAGATAGTATACTTGTCGCCAGATTGCCTAATACAGTCATCCTAGAGTCTAGCTTCTGCCTCCCTCTATATTCTAAATAAACGAGGGAGTGGATAAAGTATCGGTAATATGTCGATGTATATTTAAATTTAGTTTTATATGTGCCTTTTTTACGTCCCATTTTAATTAATTTTTTTTGATAAAAACAAAAACAGCACTGAACTGTCTGACTGAACAGAACAATGAAGTGAAAATTTAAGATTTAAGGTTATGGTTCAATACAGTTGCAAAAAGGTAGTGGCTCGACGGCTCGACGTCCTACCAACGTAAGAATAAGGAAATCTAAACAACGTTGGAATTAGTAAAACAGACGACGTTTGCATAACGTTGGAATAGGTCCTGAAAGTGACATCGGAAAACTCTTTATTGCCCAACATTGTAACTACGTTGTCCGAATCAACTAAAGATCACTAAGCAAAAAAGGTTACAAGACAACGTTTATTCGACGTCGCAGAAGCGTTTACTTTGTTGTAGTACTAGTTCAACGTCGGCACAACGTTACAACAACGTTTACATTTATTTTAATACCCAAGGTACGGAGCTAACTATTTTTTGTAACTAATCCAACGTTGTTTTTAGTAAACTTGTGGTCGCAAGTCGTGAAAATGCTACTTGGGTAGGTACTTATAATAAAAAAAAATAATTTTAGTTTCCTGTACAGAAATTTATTTGTTATTATAATCTCTATAAGTTTTTATTGTTTTAGGTTATAATGACTACAAATTTTATAATAAAACAATAATACCTAGTTTTGTAAAAATACCTTTATTCAACTTTATACTAACAAAATTCGCACATAATCGAAAGATGAATACATTTAAAATCTACACCTTATCACAAACTGATTAAACCTATACACTAGATTCAAATCAAATCTTGTTCCTATAAAATTAGACATTCTTAAGTATGAATCTGTATTTGAAGGTTAAATAGGTCTTAAATACTCAAATGTTTGAATTGTATTTACAGCAATTTTTTATCAAAGAGGAACTCGCCAAGAGCACCGTGAGAGTCCATGAGTTTCTCCAAGGTTGACAATTTACCGGCAAGGTCTCTTTGTCCTTCGTATTGTTCAGTGAGGAAATCTCCAGTGAGGTAATCAACCAGCTAGAATTATTAGAAAAAATGTGTTAAAAGTAAGTAAACAAAAATAAAAGAAAAAGAAATAAATAAGAAAAAAAGATAAACGAAAAGTAAAAAAAAAAAATCTAAAAATAAGAAACTTACATGATAATCGTTGAAGGTTGGTTCACCTTCACAAGTTTTGATAAGTTCTCTGATCTTCTTGGTAACAGAGGCTTCAAGTTGTAGAGCGTCTCTGATAGCAGATGCTCCATCACTCCAAATGATAGTTGAAGGTGCAAGCTATAATAAGAATACAGTATGGTCAAATTAAAATACCGTTATATTAGGCGTAGAAACAGTATTTCTGTCAAAGCTATATCTGTCTGTAAATTCTTGAGAACCAAACAAAATTTAGTAGAAAAAATCAAAATAAATAAAAAGTTTGTCAAAAACTAACCTAAACTAGTATTTTCCAACTCTGAGGTATATCATTATGAATTACTGAGACAGAGAAACCAATAAAAATATTGGTTCTATATTTTGGTTACCTTCGTAAAACAAAATAGTACAGTTAGCTTACAACCTTTGAATTTATTGATAAATAGTATTTTAATTCATTGCCTAAAATACTCACGTTTCTTTTGATCATGTCACTGACTCCAGAGGTCAATTGACCTCTCATCAAAAGGTAATGGATCAGTTTGATGGCGTGTTCTCTTTCCTCACTAGCAGCTTCAAAGAACAGTTTGGCAAACCCGGGTCTGTTGACTACGTCTTTCGAAAAATGGGCTCCCATAGCCATGTACTGCATGGCGGCTTTAAGTTCTTCAGTCACGTGCGACCTGATTCTTTTCACGCAAATGCTGGACATGTCGATCCAGTCATCTGGGATTTTGGGTGTTTTGTGTTCACCTAGAAGGAGAAATATACATCTTTTTTATTTATTGAAATTAGAAGTACCTGTACATATACGATGGAACGAAATATGCTGGGAATAACAAGGAAAGACCTAAAAGAACAGAGTGGATACGACAAAAGACCCAGGTAATAGATGGCATCCAGCGTTGTCAAACAGCGTTGTCAACTTCTTAAATTTGTACCAATCATTTAGAAATCACAGGTCCTAACAGGAGTAAGTTGAAACTTGTTTTGGTTTGGTACATGAAATGTTAACGTTAACATCGAATATCTAGATTCAATATCTATGGTTTATTGGACTTGGTAGAAATAACTAATGTAGATACATTAAATTAATGGTCTCATTACAAGTGAATAGAATTTATGTAAAACTACATATTTAGGACAACGTTGTGTTTACAGATATAGAAAAATCATCTTCTATCAAAAACCCTTTGTTTTTTTGCGTGTTTTAGAAATTAAATAGGTATGTATTTAAACTAAATGAAATATCATCAGAGATTGAAAAATGGAACAAGCTATTTATTTCAAATAAATAGTTATTTAATTTAATCACCTTGGCATAGTTATTTCCAATTGTCTATAAGTAGCTAGTTATGATCTGTACAGGGTGGGTCAAATTCGACGCTTTTAAATGGAAACACCCTTTTCTATAGGAGATAGACGAAAACTAATATCGGTGTCTGGAGCTCAATTTTTGTCAAAAACATGATAGTGAAAACCGCATATCGATATCTGTTACCGTTTCGGAGTTACGGGGTGTTTTTCAAAAATATGCACTTTTAACAAATCGCTGTAACTTTTTTGTTATGGAAAGTTTTGTATTTTTATGAAAACATTTCCAAAGCACCTTTTTACGTAGAATTTAATGGTTTAAGTTTAATTTTTTTAAAATTAATAATTTAAGAATTATCAACAGAAAATTTGATTTTTTATTTGGGACACCTTGTATATTTCTAATTTATTGAAAATAATTTAAAATTACCTTTCAAAAAATATAACACACTTGATATTTTGCTCGATTCCTCTTCGAGATATAGAATATATAAAAATTCGCCCGCTTTAAATGAGTAGGCTTTGAACGGCACCGGCTGTAATGCAAAAAAATCTAGCTGTGAGCATCAATTAAAACGAAAATAATATTTGCTATGAGAGATGCAGAATTTTATAACTATTTAAAATATAATTAATCAACATCAAAACATTTAAACTATATCTAATAACAAGAAAAATAAATAGCAAACCAAGACATGAGATTTTGCTATAGGTGTTCGACATATCGACCGTCTTCTGTTATGGACAGACGGGGCAGTTTTTGAACATTTCTCGCGGAATTCATTAACTCAATGGGGGTGAAAGATACCCTCTCATAACTGCTAAGTATTTCTAATTCTTGTCTAGATTATACGGAAGAATAAGGAACCTTTATTGGATGCATAAAAATTTGCTGATAACTTCAGCGATCATAGGCGGTGCGTCGTCTTGCTGGAAAAATATGTTTTCGAGTTCCATTAAGGGCATATCATCAATAAAGGGCCCAAAGCCTACTAGTTAAAAGTGGCGAACTTTTAAAAATTCTGTATTTCGAAGGGGATTATAACGAAATATCAAGTGTGCTATATTTTTGGAAAGGTAATTTTAAATTCTTTTCAGTTAATTAAAAATATAGAGGGTGTCCCAAATAAAAAATCAATTTTTCTGTTGATAACTCTTAAATTATTAATTTTAAAAAAATTATACTTAAACCATTAAATTCTAGGTAAAAAGGTGCGCTGGAAATGTTTTTATAGAAATACAAAATTTTCGATAGCAAAAAAGTTACAGCGATTTGTTAAAAATGCACATTTTTTAAAAACACCCCGTAACTCCGAAACGGTAACAGATATTGATGTGCGGTTTTCACCATCATATTTTTGATGAAAATTGAGCTCCAGACACCGATATTAGTTTTCGTCTATCTCCTATTTCTATAGGAGATAGACGAAAACTAATATGTTTGTATATACCTAATAGAAGATTCCATTGAAAAAAAAAAAAAGAAAAGGATGTTTCCATTTAAAAGCGTCGAATTTGATCCACCCTGTACCTAAATCACGTATGTCCAAGAAGATAACAATTGAGTTATTGAAAAACGTTCATATAGAAATACTTAGCTATAGTATGCCGAACGAGCCAAGGAAGAGTTCGACGGACATGCACAAAAAGGCAGAAAATACCATTGAAAGTAAATGAAAATGACAGACACAACTGTCACTATCAGGGATCCTCCAGTTAATTGGAAATTGACAAGATTATGCCAAGTCATCTCTATTTTAATAGAACATAAAATTAGATGAAATCAGCAAGGAGATTCCATTTGAAAAAATGATATTTTAATACCTATTAAGTATTTTTTTAAATATTTTGACCATATAGGGAATTAATTTACTGAAATCAATTACAAAAATTATTCGAATTTTTAAGAACACTGACATTGGTCTGTAATTATCAATAATTGAATTAAGAAAAGCACTACTATTTATATCTTTATCCTTACTACGCCTGAAATAAACAAATCAAAGTTTGGGTCAAAAATAAGTACCTACCTACTTATACTAAGTAATGTATTTTTATAAATAGGACAAAATTCACCTCTATCTGTACTTGTGAACAGGTAAAAATTGGCAAAGATATCAGTAATATCAGGAAAAAATCACATGCAACAACATACTAGGTATCCATAAACAAAAACAAAATATTTAGTGCATTGTTGTCAGTAAATCTAAAAATATACCTAATGTATAGCATAGCTTAAAATTCGTTGTATTAATTAGAGAGAGTTCAAGCAAATCATTTAAACAAAAACCCTAATTTAAAATTAATTGTTTACGGAGGTAGACAATTACATTATTCGGTAAAAATTGCCAGAAATATGTCTCTAGCCTAATAGAATTAACTAAGCCAAAAACCTCTCCAAGGTCACATTTTCTTTGTTAGTGTATTAAATTAAGGTCATGAAATAAATTCTACAACATAACAACAAAACTACATGGATGAAATCATAAAAATACACAAACACAACGTACATAACCTAAATACCATGGATCGATTATAAACATGAATATTAATATATGAATTAGGGATTATCTTAATCAATATTATATCATTATATGGTATTAATTGTGTACTTACATGTTAACCGGGCTGAGGCAAAAGCCAAGCAAACCACGACAAAAATTCCGAAAACCTTCATTGTTTCTTCGATTGACAACAAACCTGACAACAAAGAAACGAATACTTGATACACCAAAGTCTACTGGGGTCAATATTTCGGTAGCCTTCCTTTACACGCACTGGTGCAGAAGGTTGACTAAACAATATCGAATATTAACGAAAAAGTTTTTGTTTATTAGAGAAATCTATCTGCACACGACACTATTTCGTTTAATTAAATTACTCATAACCTCTCTTTGAATTCTCTTTAACTTCGATTGAAATTGCACACCACAGACAGCTGTTTCGTAGCTGTGCGCAGTGCAACGTTGTCGCTGGTAGACTATTGTCGGTAAATTATTTTTATTTCTTAAAAAAATGTAAAAAACGTTTATTTTAATTTTTATTCTACAAATTCGGACTTACGGTATGTGACAATTATACAGTAAAATTAAAATAATTTTAATCTCTTTTGTTTTAGAGTTTTTTAAATACAATAAATTATTGTATGTCAGCTCTTGAATTTATTTAACTGATAATTTGAAGTATTGCTTAAAAAATTATGTAAATATAAGTACTTTTATATATTATTCAAATAATAGATAATTGTATAATTAAAAAAAAAACACAAAATTTTACTTTATATCTTATTTAAAAGAGTCTCTACATAATGATCTGTGAATGTTAACATTGATTCTCCAAAAATACATCTTTTAATAGCATTAGGGCAACATAAATTTTAAGGTAAATAAAAAAAATTAAATAAAATAGTTAAACAAAAATTAAATTTATTATTATCATTTTCTCTGACGAGTATTTCAGGAATGATGAAAGTAATAACATTTGTTACTTACTAAAGTTTTAATTTACACAGTAATCTCACAAAAACTCGCACAATATTTCAAAATAACACTTCACCACACAGTAAATAATATTTTTGCGCCCGGCAATTCGAAGAAATCTGGCAACGCTGCCAATGACGTGCGCTCTTTGTACACAAAATCTGGTCGTGTGCGACGTAAAATATTCGTTTTTGTTGATGTCCGTGTGCTATCGCGAAGGTTTTATACCAAATAAAAGCCAAATTTGAGTCTATTGTATTTTAAACCGTCGAATACTTTAGGTCTATTTGTGATTACGCTGGCGAGATACCAGGTAATGATTAATAATTCGTCCTATTTACATTTAATCGAGTGGCTGAGAACATCGTTGTCAAACCACAAAAAAATTGAGTCCGAAATTTTCCTTTTTATTATCTTATTCGTTAATTGTTATTCATTAAGATCATTTCTATTTAATAAATCGTTTGGTCTACATCATTTCAATAGAGATCTAGAGGTTTGTGATTTTGACAACGAAATTTGAGGTTAGGTGTGTTTTTTATTTATTTTTACTATTTTTTTATACTTAGGGATCATGAAGGCCATTATTATCTTCTTTGTTGCTGTTATTGCATTAGGATCCTGCGCAGAGGAGTGTTACAAAGATACTTTGATCGCTTGTAATCCAACTTTGGCAAAACAACGTAAGTATTTATTTATTTATATTATTATTTATAATGCAATGCATAGTTGGGTGATATGTGTGCAAAATAGTTCAAGTTTGGCAATTTTGTGGCAAATTTACAATTACAAATGAAGGGTTCGAGGGAAAAATATTGTAAGCCCCAATTTCGTACAATATATTTGAACGGTACATAAGCTGTTAAATCTGATAACCAAACCAGCCAACCAGGATTCTCCTGTAAAATTTGTAAAATTGGGCTTATCATGTTTTTTTCATGGATCCTTCAAATAAAGTCATTTATTTTGACTAACATTTAGTGCTTTTTGATTGATTAATAATTCTAAAATTCGTAATAATAAATAACTTATCTATTATATTGCTACATGATATGTTTGATTTTGGTATATTGAAGCTCATGTCACTCAACAAAACAATCAATTAACTAATTTGTTCCTTGAAAATACTTTCCACAATTTTGGAGGTAAATATTAGTCTATACAAAGTCAATAATAGTTTGATTAGACTTATTATCTTGTTGAAAATAAGTACTTGTTTACCATAGGTTTATACAATGTATTTTAATTGTTAACACTGCTTGATATCTTTATGACCTATTTAAGATAACTATTCTACTGAATGGTAGTCATGCTGTATTTAATATTTATAATTTTAAATTAAACTATAATAAAGTACCTAGGTATACCGGGTGCGTCTCAAAAGTGGCTCACCCCTATAACTTTTTTATTTTTTCAGATAAAAATACGAGATTTAGTATGTTAGTTAGTATATGACATAAATTTGGATTGATTGACGTATTCAATTGTTTTTGTCACTTACTGTTTCACCGGAAATGACTACAACTTTTGAGTTTTAAATGGCACTCTCGGTATTTTTTTTTACTTTATTCGATAGAAAATGACATTCTGAATAGAATGACATATCATATGTCAACTTTTGACATTCTCGCTTAAAACAAAATTGAATTTTAAATTTCAATCTAGAGTGCCATGGTTATGTTAAAAACACTAATTCTTGGTGGTGAGCCACTTTTGAGACGCATCCGGTATATTACATTACCCTATTAATCAGGGGCGTATATAGGAATTTATTTTAGGGGGGGACCAAATCGAAAAAGTAATATACAGGGTGTTTCAAAACAAATGCGAAAAACTTCAGGGGGTGATTCCTTGTTCAAAATAAAGGGTAGTTTGCTTCATAAACGTTGGGTCAAAAGTCAACCATTAGGGAAATATCGCGGTACAAAGATGGCGGAAAAATATTGTTTTTATTTTTTATCCTGAAAACGAAAAGAGATAGACTAATGAAATTTTATGGAATCATTATTGTTATGAAAACACACTTTCTAGTAATTTTTGCACTTTTTTAAAATGAGTGGAAGGGGTTGAAATAAACTACCCCTATCATTCTTGTTAACGAAATTTAAAGAAAAATGTTATCAAACACATGCAAAAAAAATTAATTTAGATAGTTTAGTTTGTTTAGAAACTTTTTTATCTCTTGTGTTTTTTGATAAAACTCACCGATTTGAAATTAAAAAATAAAATGTAAAGCATTACATGTCAGAACAAAAAACATTTTTAGACAAAGAATCTAGTGATAATAACGATAATATTAATAATAATCTAGTAGTAATCAGTAGAGTAATGTCAAATAAAATAATATTAGGAACATCCTCAAAAGTAACAGCGACCGACTAGATTTTTCCTAAAAAAATTACAGCAGCCCACTAAATTCTTTATCTAAAAATGTTTTTTTTCCTGACATGTAATGCTTTACATTTTATTTTTTAATTTCAAATCGGTGAGTTTTATCAAAAAAAAACAAGAGATAAAAAAGTTTCTAAAAAAACTGAACTATTCAAATTATTTTTTTTTGCAAGTGTTTGATAAGATTTTTCTTGAAATTTCATTAACAAGAATGATAGGGGTAGTTTATTTCAACCCCTTCCACTCATTTTAAAAAAGTGAAAAAATTACCAGAAAGTGTGTTTTCATAACAGTAATGCTTCCAGAAAATTTCATTGGTCTATCGCTTTTCGTTTTCAAGATAAAAAATAAAAACATTATTTTTCCGCTATCTTTCTACCGCGATATCTCCCTAATGGTTGACTTTTGACCCAACGTTTATAAAGCAAAGTACCCTTTATTTTAAACAAGGAATCGCCCCCTGAAGTTTTTCGCATTTGTTTTGAAACACCCTGTATAATCTCGTATATAATTTGCTTTTTAGGCGCAATTTTTAACCCAAAAGTCTAATATTTAACACAATTTACAGTTTTTACAGTTTAACCCCCTCTGTATCCGCCGCTGCCATTAATATAGGAAAGGTTTTTTCAATTGTCATTTTGTATGTCATTTTAAAATATACCTAGTTGGATTTTTTTCTGTCTTAAAAATCAAAACGCGTTTCTATGGTAATAATTTTGTTTTCGTTCTTTGTTAGATTGTTATTGATATATTTTAATTAACGTCATATTTTTTGCTGTTGTAAAATGTTAAAGAATTACAAAATTTATTTAATTCAATGCTATGAAAGGGGTGATTTCGAAAAATTTGATACTTTAGCAACAGCAAAAATATGACGTTGGTCAAAATTACTAATATGCATCTATCAAAGAATGAAATCCAGATATATATTACCAGATTTACCAACTTTTTTTGATTTTTAGGACTTTGAAAAAATTCAACCATACATTATATTTAACTATATTTTAAATTGTTATCACAAGTCTTATTTTGTTCTTTACAGAAAATGTTGTTGCCCACTGTAACGCCAAATACGGAGGTATCAACGAACTTCAAGCAGACCTCCAACGTTTTACCAACCACATCTTCTTCAGATCCTTTGATTTCCTACTGATGGCTACCCACTACGGAAACTACATCAAAAACCGTCCAGGTTTCGAGAAACTTTTCAGAGGTCTGTCTGATTCCCTCTGGAACGACGGCATTGGAAACATCAAGTACATCACCTCGCGTGGTGGTGAAATGAACTTCGAAAACGTTGCCAAGGACTTGAAGGACGAGGAATTGCAATCTGCTAATTTGGAGCTCTATGAACTGCAAGCCATCGCCAAGGCTCTGGATATTGAAAAGAAATTGGCTTTGGAAGCTTTTGAATTGCACAAATCTGCGTCTGGAAAGAAACACGACAACCACGATCCAGAAATCGCTCATCATTTGGAGGAAGAGTTCATGGAGAAACACAGGGATACCATCAGGGAGTTGGCTGGACATAGCCACGACTTGAGCGTGTTGTTGAACGATCAAGACTCGTCACTAGCTTTGTATTTGTTTGATCAACAATTGCAGAAATAAGTTTTTGTACTTTCTATAAAAGTTTGGAAGATTTTGAATAGAGTTAGAAGTTAGAAGTAATTTTACGTAAGAATATTGTTTTCCTATAATGTAATATACAATAAATACAGAGAAAAAATGTGTTTTTTATTTGTGAAACCTCGACATAAAATGATGTTTAAATTATGACCATTTTTAGAATAAAATTTCTACAGATTAACACTCTAAGTTAAAAGTTGTTCTGCACTTGGTTTCCTTTTCAAAACTGATTATACTAAAATGTTGTAATTTTCTCCGGCATTTTTACAGCGTAATTATTGAATTCTCTTCAAAATACTATTAAGGTTGCCTACCTCTCAAACAAAGATTTTCTGAGATATTTGTATTTACACGATTCGATCTGGGTAGATCTTCATTAATTTGATAAAATCCAGGGTGGCTGCGATATATCTGACGTTACTTCAGCATAGCTGTCTAATTATTCCAACTTTAACAACATAGTTATCATTTTGTGTCAGTTAAAACAAAAAAAAGTTCTCAGAAATTTGCCGAAAATGTAAATTTATCCTACACCAGAGAGAATTAATTGATATGATTCTATTAGTTAATGAATGCAGTGTGCATTCACCAGTTAATAGAATGCTTAAATTTAAATGCTCCTGATTTTATCTAGTCTGGGTTTTTATGAGGATATGTTAAAGACAGTGTTTAAAAAACTCGACCAACTATTGTGGACAACATGAAAGAAAATTATTGTAGCTGCTTTTCGAGGTAGAACTCCACATAAATGCCTTTTAAAACGAAAAGATCCTGTTAAAAAGACGATCATAGGTATTTCTTTAATGATATACGAATTTTGTTAATGACAAATGTGATTAATCAAGATAAAATAAAACTATTTTTAGTAAATAAATAAACCAAGCTTATTGTTTAATAATAAAAGTTCAAAAAGCAGTGGCGGATCTAGGGTAAAATACGTCGTGGGTAAAGACAAAATTTGGCGCCCCCACAATTCAAAAAATGTGTAGACACTCCCCCATCCAAAAAATATATCAAACGTTATATTACATTACTTAAAACATAAATAAAAACGAAACAAAAACAAAAGAACATATTTATTACTTATGCCGTCTTAAAAACCCTGCGAAGATCACGAAAATACCTGCTTACTACAAAATATTGCACGAAACTGCGCTTAAAATTTCACTTTTCTAGCCTTTACCGAAACCATTTCATCTATCACTTTATTAAAGTTACTTTTTTCGGCTATTTCATACTCTATACTTAATATTCCCAAGTCAGTCAGTCTCTCCTGTGTTATAGTTGAACGCCTAAAATCTCTAATTAATTTAAGTTTACTAAACGACCGGTCACATGACACTGCCCAAGCAGCATTTGGACGTCGGGACAACGTTGTGTCACGCGACCAAACGTCGGGGCGCAACGTCAGCACAACCTCGTGCCAACCCTAGTCTGCACTAGTTTGGAGAATAATTTTTGGGTCGAAACGACGTTGGATACCGACGTTGGCTAGAAGCCTAATTTAGTACAAACTGCAACGTTGTTAAAAATCCTAATTCACAGAAATACAAAACTAATATGGCGTCTAAGTCGCGTTTTATCCTAAATTGGGATAATTATAGTAAAAATATTATTTTTATGATTTAGTTAGAGACATATGTCAGATGGCAGAGAAGGAAAACAAAACAAAAGTATTTAAGTGTGGAGGATGTTTGAAGATCATAATTATTGAAACACTTTAACCGACTCTGTAACTCGTTACCCAAGGCAAAAAAGTTAAACGCAAACAACTTTATTGATAAATGTATTGTTTCTACTTTGAAAAATACTAATGGGCCTTCAAATTAAAGAAGTTTTAAAAACTTTCTTGGATTTCTTTTTTTTAGTAAAATGGGAATAATTTATTCGCAGTCGAAAAAATTGTTTCCGCGTGTTTTTTAGGGTCAAATATTTTAAGTTAATGTATTCAAAAAGCAGGAATTGCTATTTTAGGAACGAAACATTTTCTTATTTAACAACATGGCGGCTTTCACTTTGTTGTTTTGGAGATTAAGATGGAGTAGTTCGAGTAGTCGCATACTGGACTAATAAAGTCGCAGTTCGGCCTTAACAGGTAGTATACTAGTCGCAAGATTGCCTAATTTAGTCATCCTAGAGTCAGTTTTTGTGCCGCCCTCTATAATCTAAATAAACGAGGGAGTGGATAAACTATCGGTAATATATGTCGATGTATATTTAAATATAATTTTATATGTACCTTTCTTATGTCCCATTTTAATTAAGTTTTTTTTATAAAAACAAAAACAGCACTGAACTGTCTGACTGAACAGAACAATGAAGTGAAAATTTAAGATTTAAGGTTATGGTTCAATACAGTTGCAAAAAGGTAGCTACTCTAGTTGGAATAGGTCCTGAAACTGACGTCGGAAAACTCTATATTGTCCAACGTTGTAACTACGTTGTCCGAATCACCTAAAGATTACTTAAGCAAAAAAGGTTACAAGACAACGTTTATTCGACGTCGCAGAAGCTTCTACTTTGCTGTAGTACTAGTCCAACGTCGGCACAACGTTATAAAAACGTTTAAATTTATTTTAATACCCAAGGTAGGGAGCTAACTATTTTTTGTAACTAATCCAACGTTGTGTTTAGTAAACATGTGGTCGCAAGTCGTGAAAATGCTACTTGGGTGAAGTGACTGGCATGGTCAGAAATATTCGCAGCGCGGTCTGCAAGTTCGGATAATTCGGAATTAAGCAATATTTTTCTAGCATATTAAGAATATCTAAACAGCTAGCTGCTTCCAAATTTGGCAGCAACAAGCTTGCGTGATTCTTGAAATTTTCCAGTTCAATATACAGCTCTGTTGCATCCAAGTCGTTAGCATATTTAATTGCTAAATCTGCAGCATGTTTTTTTTTATTTCTTCTAGTGGTAATGATGCCAGTGACTTTCCAGAAAGGAAATAAAAATCTTCGACAACACCTTCCATAGCATTAAACCTCCAGGAAAATTGCTCATTTATTCTATCCAATGATTCAAAAATTTGAATTTTGAGTTGTTGTTCTTGGGTTAATGTACCAATTTCATCATCAGCGTTTTCATCGAAAAATCTTTTTACTTTTGTTGTCCGTTTTTCTGGGAGAACAGGCTCAATATTGCTTGCCTCTGCAAGGATCTTTGCTTCTTTAAAGCAATCGTCGACTTTATCTCTAAACTCAACTAAAAAACTAAAATTTAGATGCCTCCGCGATCGAAAGCGTTGGCCACTGCAAAGCAGTGTTTACATTTTTGATGTTCCTTAAAAATGCCTGCCGCACGCTCTAGGTAGCGTCTTCTATCTAAATTTTACCATTTTATTGTATGATGTTTGCATGGTGATGAGAGTTTTTACTACTGGTTTCGAACATACTTATATTTTGCCGCCCCTGTACCGAAATTTTACTTGTAGGTATGATGTTTGCAGAAACTACTAACATACCTTATGTATGCATGCGGTTCGTGGTTAGAGTTTTTGCCTATTGATTTCGGACACATTTTGGCGCCCCTGCCGCGATGCCGCCTGGCGTCGTGGGCAGGTGCCCACCTTGCCCACCCCTAGATCCGCCACTGCAAAAAGCAATATATTTTAAAGACCACAGTCATTTCTAGGAAGTCATTTTAAACCTAAAAGAAAATATATCACATTAGTAAAATGTCATTAGCGATTTCTTGTTGTCGGGCAAAAAGAATGACGCATAGACACAATAACGTGCTGCCGGTATGCATTTATCATGTTTTTGTTAAACAATTCTTGTTTATTTATAGCCCTATTAATAAAACAATACGTTTTATATGCAATTAATTCCGAATTGATAATAGGAAAAAGCTATATGGATTATGCAGAAACTGAACTTTAATTTTTATTTTTGTTTCGTGGCTGTAAAAATAAAAGGTGCTATAGGTATTATTTTATATTTTATGCAATTCAACCACCTATTGAATAATAAATAAACTAATTTACTGAAGTATGGTTGATAAAAATGTGATTAAATATCTGATTAAATAATAATAGGTTCCTAATTTAAACAGTTTAACATAAATAATTTTTGTATGAATAAAAAGATAACAATAAAATTGGACAGTTACAGGTTTCTACTTAATATAACTCAAAATATCTTTGTATATATATATACTATATATATATATATATAGTATAGATAGTAGCCTGTTATACCGGGTCGGCATTTCTGGCTTTGGGTGCCGATTTTCGTGTACGAAGATTATACTGTCTCTAATAATAACGTTTAATACAATGAAATTCTAGGTACTGAATAAAGGAGGTCGGTCAAGTTTGCCCCCCGTATTAGGGGAAATTCAAAAAGAGATATACCACTATTTTGCACACATTTTGCACAATTTTGCACACCATAAATTATATTTTGTACACTTACCTAAGAGAAACTAGAGCCGTTTTTTAAACGGGGGGCAAACTTGACCGTTCCCCCCATTTGTTACGAACAATAATTTTTAATCAAGGAGCCTTGGAAAAATAGATTTGATTGTCTAATGTTTTTCGTGTCTTATCCTGGCCGTTTAAAAGATGCCCAAATCGTATTTTTGATCATGTCTCAATTATTTCAAATGGAACAAGTATGGCTCGTTAGCATATTTGGAAAAAGCATTTTTTACGAATAATTTGATACCACACACTTGGTATTTCGAGTCAAGTTGTGGTTATGAACCGCATATTGCCATTTCAAATAAACCATAAATATGCGAAAATGTCAAAAGTGTGTCGTTTTCTATTGAATATATTAGAAAAATACCGAGGATGTCATTTAAAATTAAAAGTTGTAGTCATTTCCGGTGAGACAGGAAGTGACCAAAAACAATTGAATACGTCAATTAATCCTAATTTATGTCATATAACATACCAAATCTCGTTTTTTTATCTGACAAAATAAAAAAATTATAATAAGACGAGTCACTTTTGAGACGCACCCGGTATAACTGAATACTAAAACTTATGAGCAAGGTATTAACCCGTGACGAAACTTGGCATCTATTGAAGATGCCAGTATTGATAAGTTTTATGTCTTTGCCATTATGTGGAAATTCCCATACTTGAATTGTGCTAAAAATTATATTGTTTATTATACAAACGGCGTCTCTACCCAGGAGATTCCTTGTGTAGAATTCGGGCTTCCGACCAGTGTATTTCGTGGTGCTTGGCCGACAGAGATGGCCTACAATGCCTGATTTTATTGTTGCACCAGCACCTTTCTAAGTATATGTTCACTTTTTTTATTTCTCCAATATATTACTCACCGCATTCACAAGATACCATAGATGCCCTTTTACTTTTGTTTTTAATCTTCTCGAGTTTTTTTTAGATACTTCTTAGAATAGTTCCAGCCTTAAAAATAGTTTGAATGTCAAATTTTTGGCTATTCGCCTGATCTATTTTGATTACCTATCTTTCAAATACCAAATACGAAATCATCATGAAAAAAAAGCATCTTTCTTAAGTTTTAAAAAATTTACTATTTTAACATATTATAGATACAAAAATTAAAAGGATTCGACAAAAAAACACAACACATTATTCTAGTAGACTTTATTTAACATCTAGGTATTTTTTATCATAAGTGACATTAAAAAAAATATATGTTCTCTTCAAAATACAATTGACAAAAACTGTTTACAGCAATTCTTTGTCGAACAGGTACTCGCCAAGAACTCCATGTCTATCCATCATTTTCTCCAAGGTGGACAGTTTACCAGCGAGGTCTCTTTGTCCCTTGTATTGCTCAGTTAGGAACTCTGCCGTCAAGTAATCCACCAACTAAAAAAATGTCCTCAATGAATATATATGTAATTTAGACAAATACAGTTATTGAAATAATAATAAGAGGAAAAAATCTTACGTGATAGTCATTGAATTGTTCGTCTTTTTCGCAAACTTCAATGATATTTCTGATCTTCTTCGTTACGGAAGCTTCCAGTTTCAAAGCATCGCTCAAAGCTGCTACACCATTGTCCCAGGTTGTCGTGGCAGGAACGAGCTATAATAGTAATTAATATACAGGATGTGTCAGGCTGAGCGTGCATTAGAAGATTCGAGAGAACTACAGTATCTAGATCGGAGATTTTTTGCACATCATTTGGAAATACCAGAAGTTGACAGCGACTTGCTTGTTTTAAATGAAAGTGAGAAAATTCTCTGAAAAAATTTTATGTGAATTTTGATACCAAATTTGGCTCTCAGCGGTCGGGTAAAGCGGGTGTGTGACCTAAGTAAATATATACAGGATGGGCCACTGAAAACTTACAATGGCTATAATGTTTAAACCGAAAAAGATATCAAAAAAATACCGTTTCTATAATATCGAGGGGGAAAACATATGACGTATTTTTTGAACCACCCCGACCTACCCCTTGGGCGGCACCCCTACTCACTTGAAAATCTTAAATAGCAACACCCCACTTGTGGCGCCTTTTTGGAAAGCCCATGAAAAATGCTAAACGATGATCATAAAGTTTTTAGGGTGAAATTGAAAAACTACCCCTTACACGAAAAATTAGGTGGACATTAATGAAAAAAAGTGATTCTTTCAGCATAAGTTACAAATTAGGACCCAATTAAGCTAAATGAGGCAAATAAGGTATTTTTCAAACCACCCCGACCCACCTCTAGGTGCCACCCCATCACTTCTAATTTTTCTATGTATTTTTTATTTTTTTGATATCTTTTTTGGTTTAAAAATTATAGCCAAGTTTTCAGTGGCCCACCCTGTATTATATTTCAGAAATCTACCGAAGGCTTAGCCCGATCCTGTCGTGTTAAGCCACACCCAAAATTCCAAACACACGTGCTTTGATTAAGGCTTGATTAAGGTTTGCAGAGCTTCAGCATTTGTCATAATCAAGAGCGATTTGTTACAAAACCATATAAATTATATTATCACTGTAATCACAAAACATTCCATATTGTACCGGAATTTTAAATTATGTCTCTATTTTGTTGATGTTTGGCCATCAAAATCTTAAAAAAAATAAGTTGTCTAAAAATGTGCTGCAATACAGATATAGTATAATCCTTTATCTTTAATTTCCTTCCTCATTTATGTAAAAATATAAAGAACAAGCGCTTTTCAACAAATTTTCACCTATAATTTTGTCACAAATTTTTCATTGTGAGACCCTGAGTCGTTCGTCGTTTTTCGATATATTAGTTGAGGTTAGGATAGAATTTTTGCTAGAACAAGGCTAGAACTATGAGTATAAGAAAAAACTAAGTCAAACTCAACCAGTTTTGTTGGTTTCAGTCATTTTTAAGCCCATCCAATATCGACAAACGACCGAATTCACCTCAAATTTCACTAAATCAAAGAACTGAATAATACACGATGCAAAAACAAACAACTGTCGGGATGGATTGTGGGAAATTTTTTTGCGCGGGCGTTTTAAATTCTCTGTATTACTGGGAGTGGCCAAGCTCATAAATATCCAGGTTATCCAGAAGATACCAACAGGATATTTTGTTGCCTTGACGTAATATATATATATATATCTATCTGTATGGTTTATTGCATTTTATGTAATATAAAAAGTAGTACATTATTTATTTTTCCTAAATATCTAGACGATATTGTTAGGATATTTTATTATCCTGAGCATGTTTGGATATCTCAGCTGGATGTACATTAGATATACGACAGAGATATCCATAGTATATTCTATTCTGAGACATCTACAGGATTTCGGGATGTCTGGAGGATATTCTATGAGATGATCTTATAATGGGACATTCCGACATTCTATGAATATCCTGCGGATATTGTGTGTTATATGGGTACCTTGTCAATTTTACATAAAACGTTAAATGCCGAACGCTCATTTTGCAACTTTTTCAGTGAAATGGACTCTTAAAAATTAAATTGTTCCAACGTGATATAATATTGGCCGTAGCTGTCATGGTATTGGGCATCATTTTACAGAGAATTTAAGTATGTAATAAAAATGGAGCTACCCATTTAATATAAGAAAGTTGCTAGCAACTTCCGGTATTTCCGGAAATGCTGCCATATTGAAAATATTTTTAAACGATAGATTTCGTTTTGAAACAATGATGTGAAAAGAAACCTCCGATCTAGATATCGTAGTTCTCTTTCGAATTCGAAGTAAGACAGTGGTATTTGTTTGTCATTTTCTTTTACAGGTATTTGTATTTTCTGTCCTTTTTCGGATGTGGTCTGTCAAAATATTTCCGGACTAGTTAGATAGACTTTATGTGTTTCAACTTACGTTTCTCTTAATGAGATCACTGACGTTCTCAGTCAATTCTCCCCTCATCAGCAGGTACTTGATGAACTCGATGGCGTGTCCTCGTTCTTCACTGGCTGCTTCGAAGAACAATTTTGCGAAGCCGGGCCTGTTGATTTGGTCCCTGGAGAAATGGGCACCCATGGCCATGTATTGCATGGCAGCTTTCAGTTCTTCGGTCACTTGATCGCGGACACTGTCCACGCAAGTTTTGGACATGTCGATCCATTCTTTGGGAACATCCGGAACCTTGTGGTCACCTAAAAAAAAAAAAATATTTTCCTATGAAAAGAAACAAGGATAGTTTCAAAAAAAACAGCACCACACAAGATAATTCGTAAAAAGAATTCTGGGTTATTCTGGGTTCATTACTTTCTAAATTTTTAATTACCAAGTATACCGGGTGCGTCTCAAAAGTGGCTCACCCCTATAACTTTTTTATTTTTTCGGATAAAAAAACGACATTTGGTGTGTTAGTATATGGTATAAATTAGGATCGATTGATGTATTCAATTGTTTTTGGTCACTTTCTGTTTCACCGGAAATGGCTACAACTTTTGATTTTTAAATAGCACCTTCGGTATTTTTTTACTTAATGCGATAAAAAATGATAATCTGAATACAGCGACGTATCATATGTCAACTTTTGGCATTTTCTCATATGGTTTATTTGAAATTATTGTATTGTAACATGCGGTTCAGAACGACAATTTTACTCGAAATATACCAAGTGTGTGGTACCAAATTATTCGTAAAGAAATGCTTTTTCCAAATATGCTAATGAGTTACCCTCGTTCCATTTGAAAAAAATTGAGATATGATTAAAAATACAATTTGGGCATCTTTTAACCGGCCAGAACAAGACACGAAAAACACTAGACGATCAAATCTATTTTCCAAGGCTCCTTGATTAAAAATTAGTGTTTTAATACAGCCATGGTAGTCTAGATTGAAATTTAAAAATTCTAAATACGTATTTAATACCCTTGTTTATATATTCTTAAAGTTGTTCAACCGACAAAATGTGCTGCCAACTGGAGGACAAATCGTGAACCTTTCGGGGCGGAGTCAAAAATATCGATTATTTTCGTTATTTTCCTCAGAGTAATGTAATAATATAGCCCCGGGCTTCTGCGAACTTTAATAGTGATCAGCTGATGAAGAAATTTAAACGAAACTTTTATTTTATTGTAAATTGTGGATTATTTTTGCCTGTTATTTTAAAAATTCTAAACCGTATTAACAAAGAAATTATTATTTCGATATGTTGGTACATTATTTATAATTTATGTTAATGCTAATTGCTGTTAATTAATATTTAAAAAAAAAGTTACATACCTAATTTAATTTGATTTAATGCAGGTTTATAAAAGAATTATTTCATTCTTAGATTATTTTATTCTAAATTGAGTGCTTTACGAATTTTACAATATTTTATTTTGAAAACATAAAACTTTTTACATTTTTGATGCCAACTAATTGGCATGGTATTATTGGTATGGGAATTAGCCAAGAAAGAAAAGAATTGGCTATAACTTGTAATTATTCGAAAAAAAACATGTTATACCTATATCGCTGAAAAGCTTAAAGAATGGCGCTCTTTATGAAGTTATGGCCAACTAGGGTTTCCATTTATAAAAAAACATAATGTTTGTGTCATATGTCAAAAATGACAGGCTTTAGAAAAAAAACAGAAAACACAAAGTCATTAGGTATGTGATTATCTACAACTTTTATCTGAAAACTTTTTGTCTAAAATACCGTATGATCGAATAAAATAATTAACCAAACAAAAAGAAAAAATAACCAAATTATCCCTTCACCTAATACTTAACTACAAAATGATAAACTATAAAAACACTACTAAACTAATTCTGGTATTCTACACTAAACATTATAATTAAACTTAATAAAATTAATCTAATTTTACACTACAACCACTACAACTACAAAGAAATAAGAATATTTTTTAAAACTAGAAGAAACAGAACTTCGATACGTCCGACCAGTATAATAGATCAAGCTGACAAAGAATATAAAAAAATGTGTATTCAGAAAGAAAAAATATCTCGAAAATTATCTGAACAAACAATTTTTTTTCTTATCAGTGAAAAGCATCGGCCTCGTCGGCCTTGCGGAATTTGGGGTATTTACAATGGTCGAATTGAATAATTACCAGCTTTTATAGCATATCTAATAGACAAAAAGTATCTGGTCGATTAGTGACCAATTGGCACAGTCCGAAAATTATCGATTTTTATTTTCTCTGTTTTTATTGGTCGCTTCAAAATTCAGAGTAACAAAAAATATTTTTCTGTAGTAAAAGACTGTGAAATACGCCCCGCCATCTGGTGCTTTACATCCATAAACGTCTTAGGTTGAGCTACTTTAAAAATTCATATACAAGGTTAATACGTATGCAGTCTATTCAGAGCGACATTTTCTATGGAATAAAGTAAAAACATACTGAGGAAAAAGTTGTAGTCATTTTTGGTGAAACAGGAAGTGACCGAAAACCGAATGCCTGAATTTATGTCACACACCAAATCTCGTTTCTTTATCTGAAAAAATAAAAGTTAGAGGGGTGAGCCATTTTTAAGACGCACCCGGTATTCAATTAAATAGTTTTTATTTTATTATTTTTAAATTGCCATTATCAATTAATTTATTAATATATTGTCGACATATTACTAGAAATATTTATACATTAAGATATTCTACAACAAAAATGTTCAACACTTATCTAGATATCATTATCTATATTCTAGAAGATTTTTTTTTCATTTATCTATTGACATAACTTAAGAATACATTGATTAGCATGGCTTTAGTTATTTAAATACGCACTTCAATTATAAACAAATAAGAGTAAATAAGTTGATAATTACATTTTCTGTCATATCATCAGTGACCTCGCTTAGAATTTCTCGATCTGCTTTTCTATGTTATTAATAAATATTACATTGATTCTACTTTTCATTTAAGTTTTTATAGATAAATAATAATTATTTTTTCTGGTACTTTACATGAGGTCAGTTATTTAAAATAAATTTATATGGATAGCATTCAATTAAATTTTTGATGCAATGCCAAGAATTAGAATTAAAAATAAAGCGGGTCAAAGAAACAATGACAGACAAATATTATTATTGTGATCCTGATATACAGGGTGGTCCGAACTATATTCCGGAAACTTTGGCTGCATATTCTGTAGATAAAAATAAGTAAAAAAGTTCCTATAAATGTATGTCCTAAAATGCTTAGTTTCGGAGAAACAGGGTGTAGAAGTTTCATTTTAATTTCGATTTTTTCCAAATAATTTATGAAGCAACATCAATATTTGGATGAAAATTGGAGTCTGGTAGTTTTTTGACAAAGTTTTTTACTTACTACCTGTCGAGGATGCCGCCGAAGTTTCCGGAATACAGTTCTGACCACCCTGTAGATTTTGAAGATGATTATAATATTTTAATACAGAGATATAGAAAGATATAACCTAAAACGCTTTTCTCGGGATCATAAAAACTATAGAAAACTCTTATTATGGTATAGTTTCAACACTATTTTTTCTTTATGTAAACAAGTAATGATAGAAAAAATATATTAAAATTAAAGAAACTGTCAACTTTCCATAAAATTCATGCCTACTGGTGCTTCTATACTATTTTTTTTGCTAATGTTGCTATGTGTATTTATTTGTTAAGTTTAGTATAACAAAAATAGTATTGTTACTAATTTTTTCATTATGATTCATTATTAGTCTCCCTTATACCGTATGATTGAAAAAAAAATGGCGTCCAGTTGGCTTGGAAATGACGATCGATGACATTTCCCATATAATTTTACATATAAAATGACAGCGATCTTCACTTCATAGCCATCGCTGACGCAATTTTTATTTGATCATACGGTATTTACTATGCAAATATAAAGAACGTGCGATATAATATTATTTACAACCAAACTATATCGAAACGATTATGGTTTAAGAAAACAGTCGTGTGCAAAAGTAAAGTGTACAATAGTTATTCAAAAAATTCTAAAAGGAAAAAATCTAATTTTAGTTAAATTGAATTACAAACTATTAATTTATTTACGTACACAAAAATTCATAATTCCATTGAATTATCTCGAGTAAGATCCAAAAAAAAGCTTCGCCATAGTGCCCTTTGAAACGACAGTCTACGATTGTTTCTGACAGCAAATCTCTATATGTTATTTATTAAAAGTTACCTTAAATCTTATTAATTTTAATAAAATCTAGGGCTAATTTTTGAGTAAATTACACAAATTGGCATAGATTAACATTTCGAAGGGTACTCTGACATCTTTTTTTTTCGATTATATTGGCAAATACACACCAATAAAAAACAAAGCTATACATACACTGTAATTCTCCGGAAGTTGACACAAAAAATGATGCGACGACCAAAACAAAGATCTTCATGATTGCAGATGACATGTTTGATGACGTATTATTGGAAAAATAGTAGTTTTTTTCAAAACAAGAATGATTTATTGAGCACGTTGATAAGTCTGCCTTTACACACACTGGCGCAGAAGGTCGACTATTACTGAACTAACTTGGGATTCGATGCAGTACTTATTTGTTGTTTTTTCGGGGTACTACTGATAATTTTGCGCACCTATTTCATGGTGCGGAGCGCAAAGCGGCAGACTAGATGTGGCGATGTTTGTTTAAGTTTGTTATTGGTTATTTTTAATAATATGTTCTACAAGTTGACAAAATTTTGTTGTGTGCAATATTCGGTGTTGCCACACTTGCTCAATTTGTATTCTATTTAATTTATGTTTATTTGGCTCAACTTTCGTTTACCTGAAATCTGTTATATAAAAAGTGACTTTATATATGCGTTCTAGAAGGCGATAGGAGCACAAATATAGAAAAAATTTCCTGCGGAAATGCGTCATTTTCATTTTTCGGACTTTAGTATAGCCGAAATCTTCTTCTTCTTCTTCTTTTAGAAGGCGTATCGCCTGTTTAGTTCGGGTTTCCTCCTCGTCTAAGCAACTCTTGCGAGGTTGACTGCCAACTGTCTTGCCAACGTTTAGGTGGTCGTCCAGTAGGTCTTCTGCCATGGGGTACGTTGTTGCGAATTATTATGACCATTCTGTCGGGGCCCATTCTATTGACATGCTGGTTCCATTCTCTTCTTCTCTGCCTCATTCATCTGACAACGTCGTTTGTTTGGCACTTTTCTCTTATGTCTACATTTCTCTGTCTTTCTCTCAATGTGTATCCAGTTATCATTCTTAAGGTCTTCATTTCAGTAGTTCGTAGGATTCTCTTTGTTACTGATGTTTCAGCCCTGGTTTCCGCACCATATGTCATCACTGGTCGTATGCAGGTTTTGTATATTCTTGACTTACATTCTGTACTCAAATGTTTGTTTTTCCATATGGGATATTTAAGATGTCCTGATATTGCGGCAGCTTTATTGGCTTGTTTCCTTACTTCTTCTTCCAGGAATCCTGAGCTTGTAATTTTGCATCCGAGGTATTCGAATGACATTATCTGATCAATAGTTTTGTTTTTTATTACCAATTTGCACCGTAGAGGCTCCGTTGTAATGGTCATGCATTTGGTCTTATTTGTGGAAATCTGCATGTTAAGTTTTTCTGCCTGTCTGTAAAAAGCTTGTAGCATTCTTTGGAGGTCGTCCTCTGACTCTGCAATAAGTACTGCGTCTTCGGCATAGCATAATATGTTTACTTTATGCATTCCCATTCGATATCCTAATCCAGTATTCTTGACGGTTTTTATTACTTGATCCATGATTGTGTTGAATAACAGAGATCTGAGACTGTCGCCTTGGCGAATACCAGTTGTAGTTCGAAGATGCTGCGTTAAGGTAAAGTTTGTTCTTATTTGGGTTGTTGTGTTTGTGTTTAAGTCCTTGATAAGTTCTGTGAGTTCTTTCGAGACATTACTGCTTTCCAAGATGGTGATGATGTCTTTTAGTTGTACTCTATCAAAGGCCTTTGTTAAATCTATAAAACATAGATAGGCTGGAGAGTTATATTCTAAGGATTTGTCAACTAGTTGCCTGAGTATGAATAGTGCATCGGTAGTTGATCGGTTTCTTCGGAATCCTTGTTGTTCCTCGCTTATTGGCACTATTGAGGAGATTTTGTCCGCAATGATCTTAGTCAGAAGTTTTAGCGAGGTGCTCAGTAATGTTATTCCTCTATAGTTTGCTGGGTCTGTTTTATCTCCCTTTTTAAAAATGGGTATTGTTATACTTTGTTTCCATTCTTCTGGTATTTTCTTATGTTGTAATATAATGTTAAACAGTTTTGTGTATTCCTCTATGATAGCCGTGCCTGGTTTTTTTTCTATTACTGAAATCTGTTACATCAAAACTAGTCTTCGGGGTGTGTTTTAGACATTTTTCTAAACATAAAAACACAAAAAAGTGTCTGCGGAAATTTTTTATTTTTATTTTACGTAAAAAATGCTTTGAGTTTAGAATAGCCGAAATCAGTTACATGAAAAATGAACTTATATTTGTTTTATACGAGCCTTTACGAGCAAAGAAATACAAAAAAATTCCTGCGGAAATGTGTCAATGTCATTTTGTGCAGAATAGATAATATAGGTTCTTGTAAACTATTAGTACCTCGGAATGTTGCACTTATTCTTGTTTTTTTATTAAAGCTTTACGTAAATAGGGCTGATTCAAAACAAAAAATCATTGGATCATGCAGTTTTCTTTTATATTTTAATAGTTAACTGTGATTTTGCAAAAATATTATTAGATTGGTTAAGATTTGAGTTGCTTTGGTTAGCTTTTCTTTTTGGAGGGTGTTAAGCTGTGGTTTTTATATTTTAATAATTAACTGTGATTTTGTAAAAATATTATTAGATTTATTATTAGATTGGTTAGCATTTTAGACACTTTAAAAATTTTTTTTGGTTCAAAAGTGCTTCAAAAGTAATCTACATAATAATCCTGTCATCAGAAGCAAAAAACAAAAAGAATAAAGACTTTGTTTTAAAATTAATTTAAAATTTATACATTAAAAAAAATTTGAGCATTTAAATATATTTTCAGGGAGAATTGTTCAATACTTAATAATAAGTAGGTAGTTATATGACATTCAATTTTAATCAAAGTAACCTTTGGAAAAAAACAGGCTTGTGTTTAGTCATTTGACATACAAAATAATATCAAGGTTTCAAAAATGTATATCTACCTATTTTTAGTCAATTTCATCAATTTATATAAATAAAAATGGAGTAAAGTATTGAGTTTATTTGGTAATTTTTAGGGTTCCGGAGCTCAATACGAAAAAACGGAACCCTTATTAGAATGATATTCAGGTCTACAGTCTCTTGACGCTGTGAAAAAATCAAACTTCCAAGATAATTATGTAACAGATTATTTCCTTTATATTATTATTTATATTGTTAACAGATTATTTTCTATGTCCTTTACGGTTCAAGTCGATGTTTTCGGTTGTTAGTTTCGATAGAGGGTCTTTTTAACAGGAAGTAATAAAACAAACAACTTTCAAACGTGAATATTTTTAAATTCCCAAACTTATAGAAGGACAAAGCAAATAAACTGTAGAACTTAGAAGTAAATAGAAAAATTGTAAAGATAGACCTTAGATAAAGACGTTGGGACGTTGTAAAACCAATAACCACCCTTGATAACATGTTTAACTATCGCCGGATGTTTGTAAAGGATCTGGGAACTTTAGAAAAGCACGTACCTAGATGTAAGTGGCGCTAAACGAGGATTGAATACGTAAAATGGTCATAGTACTGCCATCTAACAACGGGAAGTCGAACCAACTTGGTTTGAAGGGCGGTGTCAAGCTGACCAATCAAACAAAGAACAGTACCTTTAGGGATGATGCATCACCGTTCAACCCTGTAATGTTGGAACCTCGGGGCTGTTTTTAGGCAGAAAAGTTAGTTCGGTTCGAGTTTCGAAAAGGCACGGTTCTCCCTCGGGTTCGCGAAGCTCGGTAACGTTCACGATGTGACCCCCTGTAGTTTTTAAGTCTGGTGTCTGCTAATAGTTATGTTTTTAAGTCCTTTTGTCAAATATTCTTAATTTCTGTTTTATTCTTCTTTAAAATTATTTTAATGTGTTGTAGCAAGATTTAGTAATGAAAGGTTTAATTGATTATATAATTATCATATTTTTCAATAAAAGTAGACGCCAGACAATTTTCTTGTATTTTTTCCATCTTTTTTTTTTATTCTGAGTAATAATAAGTAACTTAATTTTTTACATATATTTTCTTTTTGTTCTTCATTTTTTTCTTTAATATTAAATTTAAATGTTTTCTGAAAACTCGGCAGTTTTATTTCTATAGTAAAAATATTCAAGAGTGTTTTAAGAGTATATTAAGATCCTTATGAACGGGCAGAATATCTCCAGAGCAGTCCAGAAAAGTCTCGAGAAATGAGCTACAGATTTACAGACAGAGGTTGGGCCTCAATTAAGGTAAGTTATAGTAGATTTGTGTAACTAACATCATCAAGACAAGGCATTAAACATACGCCCCAAAGAGTCGGTGTACTTTTTATCCAAGTTTGCCTTCCGCTCAACTTAATTGTTTTTTTATAATTATAAAATAGTCACGCTATCCATAACAAAAAATGATGAATCTGAAAAGATTTGTCACAATTAATCTATTCCCTTTTGTTTCAGTCGAAAAAGTCGATGCTAAGAGAGGAAGAATAGGTACATTTTAGTATTTACCATAATATCCCATATAGACACTCCAAAGACATCATTTGGACACCTGTCAATAAGTAGTAATAGTTAATTTAAAATTTAACTTTAATACAAGAATTTTTATCCAAATTTTTACCATACATTCCTCTAACAGATGGTATATGTAGACAAAGTATTGTATGCTAATTTATTAATGCTTGCGTGTAGAAAAAATAAATATTCATATATTACTGTAAACATTTTTCATTACAGTAACAATAAAAAGTACTAAGTACTTACAGTAACACTAAAGTACTCTAATGACAACTGAAATATATTTTTGATGTTTTTCTATGAATTTTTGGATAGTTGCTTCAATTAAGTAGAATACTCATTTTGATATAATTTAGATAATATATTTTCCATTTCCTATTTCCTATTCGCATCTTTTGCCCCGTCATAATATACAGGGTGGTCGGAACTCGGGACTGTATTCTGGAAACTTCGGCAGCATATTCTGCAGATAAAAATAAGTAAAAAAGTTCGTATAAATGCATATTCAAAAATGCTTAGTTTCGGAGATATAGGAAGTTAGTAGAAGTTTCATTGTATTTCGATTTTTTCCAAATAATTTATGAAGTATCGTCAATATTTGGATAAATATTGGTGTCTGGGAATTTTTTTGACATGAGAAATTTGATTTTGATGCCAATATGACTCCACATACATATTTTAACTGGTTTGAAGAGTAATAACTTTTTGTCCTGTATAAAAATTCTGAGTGAAAAAATCTACATTTCCGTGATTTTTTACGTAAAAAATGTCTCTTGGTAAAAATCGCTACGAGCAATCGTTCTCAAGATATTTAGAATGGAAATAGGGTGAATACATGTCATTATTGACAAAAAATAAACGAAATGTAGAGTAGATAGTTATTTGACTGAAATGATAAATTTGGGAACTTTTTATTTTTTTAATCATAAATTTTTCCTCGAAATCCTTCGAAAAATTTATGATAAAACAGTTTATTTAGGTTAGGTTGCAGTATTGTATTGATAATTTCAATATCAAATATCTCGAGAACCATTAATACTAGCAGTTTTTACCAAGAGACCTTTTTTACGTAAACGTCTTAATGAATATTTTTTTATTCAGTAGTTTTATACAAGTACCGACGAAAAGTTATTACTCCTCAAACCAGTTAAAAAAATATGTAGATGGCGCCCTCTACAAGTTGAGGAGTCATGTTACTTCAGAAATTATTTGAAAAAAAAAATGAAATTTCTACACCCTGTATCTCCGAAGCTAAGCATTTCGGACATACATTAATACTAACTTTTTTACTTGCAGAATATGCCGCCGAAGTTTCCGGAATATAGTTCAGACCACCCTGTAAGGTGTATGGACCAACTCTCATACAAGGCCCATCAATGCCATTCATAGGCCCAGAAACCTTGTGAGTGTTTTTATTTTGCTGTTGTAACACCAAAGGTTCCAACCCCAATAGTACGTTGATATTAGCATATTTAGAAAAAAAAAATTATAAAGTTTTGATATGTTGAGGTTATACGTACTAAAAGGAGAATTTTTAAAATCAAAAGAGTTCCTAACTGTAAAGTGTGAGCTTCACCGCCAAAAACCACCCCCAATACGCACTGCCGTGGTTTTTCTCGTGTTTCTCGAAAACCATTAGTCGCACAGAAAATTGTATTCTTATCAAAACTATTCCTTATAAAATTTGCTACAAAAAAGGTTCTATTCATTATTTATATTTATCCAATGCATTTCGAGCAATAACCGTTTGAAAAATGGAGTACAAAAAAAATTCAGGTCGGCTTTCAAATTATAGACTCCTAAGCTACTTTAACGTGCTAAATATACACGCTACAGATATAATACTGTATAATATAAACAAAAACATTGCCTATCCCATACTAAACTAACATTCCTACTTTCATCTACATATTGTCATCGTCTATAGTTTCTAGAATGTGCTCAGTATTCGAACAATTTTGCCCACGACGGGTTCCGCACATAGTTGTACATTTCATGCAGGCTTTAATGCAACTGCATCTTTTTATACAATCTTGTTTGCTGAAGTTCAAATTATTCGTACTGCCATCAAAATATCTGAGAAAAATTAACAAGTTCTAGTCGTTGGCAAGATGTCAATCTTGTTGTTTTATTATCAGCACTTTCCCCCGACGAAAAAGACATTCTTTTTCTGAAAGAAGCCATAGGTAATGTAAAACAACGAATGTATAGTTCGAGAGACTTGCAATCATTCAGTATTATATATAATTTAAAAAAATCAATTTTATTTATTCACGTTATCACATCAGGATTTTTTGGAAAAGGAAAACAACACGTACAAATATTTAATAAAGAAAAAGACCTTGATAGTATCGTCGATATTTTTAACAACGCAAAGTCAACACCTGAAGAAATTGAAAAAGCTGGAGAGACGTTTATACTGAAATTATACAAACTTCAATCATCTGAAGGGGGCCTTGGTGAGCAAAGATACGCTTGTTTGAATAAGTTAGTTGGTCAAAAAACTATAAAACAGCATGGTATTTTATCAAAATTGCTCCCATCTGTTGCAGCTAGGTAACATTCCCGGAGAATATATCTTCAAGTACAAATATGGTAAGAACAACCTATAAAACTCGACCAGTAGTGGGGCTGGAAGAAAATCAACAATACCCTGTCACCAAGAGCGTAGATAAGGGGGGGGTACTGGGGGACAGTACCCCCCCCTGACGCTTGACGAGATACGAGAATTGAAATAGTCATTGACTATGAAAGGATTTTTTTAAATTAAAATCCGACATATAAGAACACTTTGTATGCTTTTAATTATGTTGATTTATCGTTTATAATATGTTCGACCTAATTAAAAGCATACAAAGTGTTCTTATTGGCCAGGACAGATTAGTGGGGTTAACTCTAATCAATATCCATAAAGATATTGAAATAAATGTTGATGCTGTAATTGATAGGTTTTCCAAACAGCGTACTAGAAAACTTGATTTTGTTTTGTAGTTTTATTTATAGTTTATAGTTTTTATAGTTTTTTTTTCATAGTTTAGAGTTTTTTATTTATAGTTTATAGAAAATTAACTAATAAACGTCGTTGTTTCATTTTTGTTTAATTTATTTACAAATCTATATTTTAATTTTTGTGTTATGTTTTTATATCTTTTTGAAGACAAAAAAATCGCCGTCGTTTTAATTCGACAAAAAAATTCCGACGGTGATTTTTTTTGCGACTTAATCATAGTACCACCCCCATAGCATACACCTATCTACGCCCCTGCCTGTCACCTTTATATACAACAGAATAGTCCGCCCCTGCTTCAATTATGTCATTAATGACGTGCAACTGCAAACAAGATTGTGTAAAAAGATGCAGTTGCATTAAAGCCAGCATGAAATGTACAACTATGTGCGGAACCTGTCGAGGGCAATGTTGTTCGAATGAGCACATTCTAGAAACTATGAATGTTAGTTTAGTGGAATAGGCAATGTTTTTGTTTATATTATCCAGTATTATATCAGTTGCGTGTATATTTACCATGTTAAAATACCTTGGGAGACTATAATTTGACAGGCGACCTCTATTTTTTGTACTCCATTTTTCAAACGGTTATTGCTCGAAATAACGAATAGAACCTTTTTTGTAGCAAATTTTATAAGGAATATTTTCAGTAAGTATAAAAATTTTTGTGGGACCAACGGGTTCTGAGAAAAAAGCAAAAAACCATCAAAGGGCATATTGGGGGTGTTTTTTTGGGGTGAAGCTCACACTTTAAAGTTAAGAACTCTTTTGATTTTGAAAAGTCTCCTTTTGGTGCGTCTAATCTCTACTTATCAAAACTTTATAAATTTTTTCTTCTATTCGGCTATTTTAGGTCTAAAGGACGGTCCACACTTGCTATATAACATTGCTATATAGCAAAGTTATATAACATGTTACATATTTTTTAGTTATATTTAGCAAATTTCGATGCTATATAACTTGCTAGATGTTATCCATTTGTAGTCGGTAAAGATCAAAAGATGTTGTGCAACATTGCTATTGTAACATGAAACAACGCGTCCACACTTGCTAAATTTCTAGTTTAGCCGCTCATATTTTCAGGGACGTGCGCGACAGAATCTTAGTGTGGTGAGCTGATATTGGTTTGTTTATTTACTGGTCCATAATACCGTATGATCGAAAAAAAAACTGCGTCCCGTTGGCCTCCCGTCCAGTCCAGTTGGTTTGGACATGACGACCGATGACATTCCCCATATAATTTTCCATATAAAATGACAGCGATTTTCATTTCATAGTATGTATTTGGAAACAGAAAAAGTTGAGAAAAAATGCGTAATCTAATAGGCCAGTTCCAGCGGGAACAAAAGAAATGCAAATCAGGAACTGCATGGTTTAGATGAAGTGGATAATTCAAAATGGTTTGCTTTTGCTTTTACAGTACCTCTGTCCGTTCTGTGGCTACGGGGTATCCGTGAGAGGGGAAACGATATTCTCTCGATGTTTTTCGTAAAAAATAGACGACGCGTCCCATCAATAAAAATTCGACAAATTTGCAAGTAGCCAATAAAGTGAGTGGGCGGAGCGATTTGCGGTGACGCACTCGTCAAATCGACGTATAGAATATATTGCTGTTTATTTAAATGTTTTTTGTCCGCATTCCTTTCATAGACACAGATCCAGCCAGGGTTCGGAAGTAGTTAATTAAGACGTAATTTACCTGATTAACTACGTGTAGTTTTTCTTCAAAAACTGCGTCTTTTCCCGTTCATTAACTACATGAAAACTACGTAAATAAACTATGTATTGATATTATGGATAATTTTCCTTTGTATGAGGTGTAATAGAGATAATATGATGTAAATATTATATTTAAAGCCATATTTCTTCTGTTTTCTTAAATACATTATGTGTTGAAAACCTCACCTCAAACCTTTGACATTTGAAAGTTACATACATAGGTTACATAAACTACACCCTCTACATAAACTACATGTAATGTAGTTTATGTAGTTTTTAAAAGTATCATGTAGTTTTCCGAACCCTGGATCCAGCAGACGAGACGTACTGTAAATTATTAATGTTTTTAAAAGACAGAAACACACCACGAGAAACAGCCGAGGCAAGTATTGAAAAGATAAGCTAATTGAGTTCAACTGTATCTAGATCTTGCTGGTAGGCTATGGCGGACTGAAGACCGCTTTTTTTCTCGACTTTCTTTCCCTTAGTTCAAAAATAATTACGCACGCCGCTGCTGCGAGCTGAACCTCTTTCTCGCCAAAACGATTCATGACTACGAAAACTATAATGCGGACGGCTCCCGGTTTTTTAACATGTTACATGTAGCTTGTTAAATAGCAATGTTATATAACATGTTACTAAATGTGGACCCTCCTTAATGTAAATATACTACAACAGTAATCTTGTAAGTTAAGAAAGAATGAAAGCATAATATACTCTGTATTTGAGCCAAGTAAACTAAATGGATGGCTGGTTGTAAATCCGGCAACAGGGCAAGGCTTGCGAAAAAAAACGTAAATATTATTATTTGCGTGTGCAAATCCGCGCGGCATACCGAAAACATTGGATGGTACTTCTCGCGTGCGATAATCATCCAAAATAAAAGAAGTACCGCCTTGCTTCGAGGGTCATTCGTGATTACGCTGGCGAGATACCAGGTAAGACAGAACAAATCTAAGTTATTGTTAATTAATGCAAAGTAATTTCAATTTTTTTCCTTGCTTTTGATTCAATTCCATGCTGAATTTTAGTTGTGAATTAATATGTTAATGCGTTGTTGTTTATGATTCATTCAGTTATTTTAATTTTATTTTATAATTTTTGTAATTAGGACGGATACACTAATAGTATTCATGGTTCTAGGTAATTATTTGATGCTTAGTCTTAGAATTTTGCTTCTTTATTGTAGAACTTTCTGACAACTATTGTATAGACTGTTAAGCCATCGTTCACCATTACGTCATCCAGGGGCGTAGATAGGTGTATGCTATGGGGGTGGTACTATGATTAAGTCGCAAAAAAAATCACTGTCGGAATTTTTTTGTCGAATTAAAACGACGGCGATTTTTTTGTCTTCAAAAAGATATAAAAACATAACACAAAAATTAAAATATAGATTTGTAAATAACATAAACAAAAATGAAACAACGACGTTTATTTGTTAATTTTCTATAAACTATAAATAAAAAACTCTAAACTATCAAAAAAAAAACTATAATAAAAACTATAAACTATAAATAAAACTACAAAACAAAATCAAGTTTTCTAGTACGCTGCTTGGAAAACCTATCAATAACAGCATCAACATTTATTTCAATATCTTTATGGATATTGATTAGAGTTAACCCCACTAATCTGTCCTGGCCAATAAGAACACTTTGTGTGCTTTTAATTAGGTCGAACATATTATAAACGATAAATCAACATAATTAAAAGCATACAAATTCTTCTTATATGTCGGATATTAATTAAAAAAAATCCTTTCATAGGCAATGACTATTTCAATTCTCGTATCTCGTCAAGCGTCAGGGGGGGGGGGTACTGTCCCCCAGTATCCCCCCCTTATCTACGCCCTTGACGTCATCATTATTAGTGTCAAAGATGAGTTTTGGGGGGTGTCTGAGATCAATTCATATTGTTTAGAAAATTTTAAGTGCGTTCCTATATTATTGGTTGAGTGAATTCCGTTTCGGCATTTATTCATTTTTTCTTGAACACTTCATCAATTACGATCCCTTTAACTCCAGTCCTTTGGACTGTTGAAATTCATATTTCTTAAGCATCAGCAACTTGCTATATTATGTAAAAACCCTAACAATTTGTATTTTACATAGGAATATTACACCTTTGCAAGAGTTTTCTACCAGCGTCTCTTTCTCGAGAAAATTAATTTATAAGCTTAGCATTGAGCTCTTGTTCACTTTGGTTTACAAAACATCCCCCTTTAGAACTTCATCTGTCATGTTAAGAAATGAAAGTAAATAATAAAGCGCCTCTCGTGTTTCTTCGCACTCTAAAAATTTCAATTAATGCCTGTAGTAATTTTTAATATATTTTTTAAATTTAAATTTTTTGACTGTAAAGTATATACATTTAAAATGGAATATGTCAATTACAGGATTACAGGCTTACAGGCTTGTGTTTTCTAACATTTTTTAAATAAAACGAATTGTTAAATTTCAATATATGTATATTTGTCATATGTGTAGGTATGAAAAAGTAAAATATAAAATGGACAAACGCTTACTTACATTGCAATAAAACTTCCACTTTTAGTTTTGCAATCCAAACGCAATACTTCTATTTCACAAATAAAAATATCCGACAACACTAAAATCACTGAAACTTCCGCGGCTGACAACGAAAACTGAAAAATATAACGGCACTTTTTGTTTTGGACCTGCATATCAACATTACGCCGTACCATTATGAAAATATCTAATTATAACTTGTAAATTTTAATATTTGAACATGATTTTAACTATTTCTGACAATAACTAACTTTTTGTTATTAAGATAACATTTTAGACGGCAACTGACATATATGTCATAATATTTGAATTTTAAATATGTATGTAATATAATTTAAATTAATATAATGCAACAAAGTCTAATAATATAGTTTGAAAACAATGAAGATTGAATTAAAATTAAAAAAGTTAAGCGCGACCCCTTGTGTCAAAATTAGATGATTAAATTTTCGCAATTTTTTCACCATTTGATGACCGGTGGCGCCTCTAGTGTTTGTTCGGGCGGTTGGTCTTTTACTCCCGCTTATGGTCCTTAAAGAAAAAGTTCTAAAGGGGGATGTTTTGTGATTAAATTTTCGCAATTTTTACACCATTTGATGACCGGTTGCGCCTCTAGTGTTTGTTCGGGCGGTTGGTCTTTTACTCCCGCTTATGGCCATTAAAGAAAAAGTTCTAAAAGGGGATGTTTTGTGTTTTGGTTAAATCTTTGGGGCATTTTTGCAATAAAAAAATAAAATATTGTTTTACAGCAGCAATCAAATTTCAATTTTGACATTGCTCGATGGCCGTCAATAAAATTATAACTCCAAATCAAATGATAATGACAAAAACTAAAAATAATATGCAGTAATTTACGAAATGCTGTAATGACGTCACCATTCCGCTAAAGTCACATTCCACTAAATAAAATTCGGGTATAAAATGTGAACACTAGTGTAGCAAGTTAGGCAATAAAGCTTAAAAAAAAAATTTCTTATTTTTAATGACTGTCATTAGTGGTATTTGTCAAACTCCTATATTTTTTCCTGAAGAATTTTTAAAAATATTGCTTCTTAATAATAAATAGTTTGACATCTCCTGTTTAATGTACCGTATGGTACCGAAAAAAAACGGCGTCCAGTTGGCTGGGAAATGACGATCGATGACATTTCCCATATAAATTTACGTATAAAATGACAGCGATCTTCATTTCATAGCCAACGCTGACGCCGTTTTTTCTCGATCATACGGTATTATGTTACTAAGGCTATAATTTTTACAATATTTTTATTATTTCTACTACATTTTTGTATAAAAGAATTCTTACAAATTATTTCGTCTCTTTACTAGGGATCATGAAGACTGTCATTCTATTATTAACTTTCGCTGCTTTGGCACTTTGTGCCGATGACTTCTGTTACAAAGACACCCAAAGAGCTTGCAGCCCTACATCTAGCAAATTAGGTAAGTCACTAAACAATGCAATTTTTATTTTCTTTCATAATAGAATTAAAAAAATATGATGCATGCGCAAGTCAAACTTTTTTGATCTGTGTAAAATTAAAGAAAAATATATGAAGAAGGCTAGAGTTCCGTCTATACATAGTGTTTTACCTGTCAGTCTTACATGTTCAGTCAAAGCGTTTTTTGTAATTTAAAACTTGTTTGAATTAGGTAAAATCCTAATGTGTAGAAAAGACAATTTGACATTCACAAAATTATAGGATGACAACTTACGGTAATCGCAAAACAGTTTTCGATGCACGTGCCAACATACGATGCATCGTATGTTGGCATTTGCCTGGTTTTGCAGTTGCATCTTCTATGATAAACTGTCTTGGCTAATTTTTAATTAATTTTACTTGATTTTTTAGTTACTGGAGTTCCAAACTGCAACGCCAAATATGGTGCCATTGACAAGCTACAATCCAGCCTTCAAAAATACACTAACGAACTATTATACCGTTCATTCGATTTCCTCCTCATGTCTACTTTCTACGGGAACTACATTAAAAACAGACCAGGCTTCGAGAAGCTGTACAGAACCTACTCAGATTCATTATGGAACGACGGTATAGAACTTATAAAGTACATAGAAACTCGCGGAGGTACCATGGACTTCAGTAACATCCCTAACAACATTTTAAACCTCGAAAACGATGGAAGTGAATCAAAACCAAGTCCAAAACCAAACTGGGAACTCAACGAATATACCTCCTTGGCCAAAGCTCTGGATTTGGAAAAAGAACTGGCTGAAGACATCTTTAAAATTCATCTGGACGCTGATAGTCTGAAACCTGGTCAGCATGATGCTGAGGTAGTGCATCATATTGAGGAGGAGTTCGTTAGTAAACACAGAGATGCTATTAGGAAGCTTTCTGGGTACACTTATGATTTGGGAAAGTTGTTGGATACCCCAGATGCTTCTCTGGCTGTGTATATGTTTGATGAGTTTTTGCAAAATGACAAGTATTAAGTATATTTTAGTTTGTCTGCATGTATATTCCATGTTATCTAATTTTTTTCTGCAATACCTTTGTAACATAAAAAAGTAAATATTTAAACAGCAATACACTTTTTTTGTTTAATTTCTATATCCAAAAATTGTTTAATACAGAAATAAAAACGAAAAAAAATCTACATTCTGTATTTCATATAGATAATTAACCTACTTTAAATTGTTTGTTTATGATGTCTAGCTTATTGGGATAGTAGGTATAAAGTATAGATATTAATAAAATTATCTCCAAGCAAAATATTTGTTAGCTATTCTAGATAATTACGTCGTGCATGCCCTTTGACTAAGTCCAACATATTACTATTACTTTTGATAGATCTCATGACTGGCATTCTATATTACAATACGAATGAAGATAATTCTTTGTTACAATAAAAAGAACATATTAAAACAAATATACAGGGTGAGTCTTAAATAAGTGCAAATATTTTTAGGGATAGTATATATTTTGATACTAGAAACACAATGAGTTTTTCTTAGAAATTTTCGCAGTACAATAACTCGGTTATTTTGGACTTTCATTTTCTTTTTCATTTGAAAAACGATAAAGAGAAAATATTTTTCTTTTATCGAGATCTACCAGCCATGAAAATATTTGCACTTATTTAAGACTCACCCTGTATAGTTCCGCTTTAGCCTATATTCTATATAACTCAATTGGCTTGTCTATAATCTAAATTATGAATAATTCACCCATTTATAGAGATAACATTATTCCTTTAGTTATTACAAATCTATATCTCTCTAATTAGCTATAGTCTGTCCAACGATAAGATCCTTGAGAGCGATAGACAAAGAATATACCTAGCTAGAAAAAGAATGGACTCTGCCATACTGAAAAATGGTCCTACAGAAGTGGCGCCATCTATTGAGTAGGGCTTGTTTTAAATGGATCGTAGCGCGGGCTTTTTAAATGAGCGTATTTATTGAATTTTACTCTAAAATATATAATTAAATTTGATTATTAAATCTCATTTTTTACACAAATTCAACAATACTAATAACAAGTATTGTTGTGATGTGTAAAAAATAGGATTTAACAGTATAATTTATACAATTATTAAACAAAATTAAAGCCAAACATGTGTAAATATTATTTATTATCTAAAGTTTTTATTTATAAATCAAATATTTAAACATCGTTTATTATAATAAAACAAGACCAACATAATACGCCCAAAGTTTTGTAAATGGAGTAAATATAAATATGTACTTAAATGACAAAAATAAAAGACTTTTATATATTATATTTTTAGGGCCACAAACAAAATGAATTGTCTAATTAAAACACATATAACAAATTATAGTTTGAAAAACGTTTTGATAATCATTTGATAATATTATGATTGGCGCTATGACAACGACAATATTTTTTGAAAATCTGACAATAGTATGACAATGGCCGTTGGAAGCTATGGAAACTACAAAAAAATTCTGATTTAACGCCATCTGGCAATAACTAGTAGCAACTTCTTAACCTAAAAATTAATTGCACTACCACCTAGCGCCTGAGGCTGGAACTATTTTATTTGAAATCTCCGTGGAAACGGTGGAACCGCTTTTGCTATTTCACTTTCCCGCCCCTGGTGATAGATATGTCTGTAATTTTAATATTAATGTAGTTTATTTTATTTTACAAAGAAATAAGTTGGTACTATTGGAATGCATAATTAGGATATTTAAAATTTGAGTGACAAGTTATTACTTCAAAATATTGTGAAAAACTGTAAAAATCGAGTTATTTTATTAAAAAAAATTACGGTATGTGTTAATACAAAACAAGCAAGGGTGTATTTTAAACAAAACACCACATACCAACAAAAATATAAAAACGATTTCTTACTTTCAAGCTCAAGCAGCTTACTGCATTTATTATTACATTAATTTATCAATATAACTTATATACAAATATTTTTTTTTAATATTGCAAAGGAATAAATAAAACACGACATAAATAAAACAAAATATTTTTTTAATAATAACACTTACTGAATTAAATACCTTAAAAGTTGGTTAATTAACTTTAATCTTAATTTTTTAAACAAGTATATCTTTTGACATTATCTCTCTGCAGTACTAAAATATATTGTTTACCAATCGTGTGATGTTATTTTACAGACACTCCAGTTTTTGATACAATATACGAGATGGTATACTATTTGGGCCGAGAGTTGTATTAAACTCTCTGGCCATAGTCTCTCGCAAACTGTCTCTAGCGGTCTCTGGCACCGAATATTAACTGTAAACTATGATCTTGTAATTTTAAAAAACACGAAACACAAGTAACAACACAGTCCAAAATGCAAATTGCAAAATATTTATCATTTCTATTTGACATGATTTATTTATATATAACCTATAATTTGCCAAGAGTTTGATAACTCTCAAAAATCTTAAGTCGAGTTCATACGCATCGGCGTCCGTTTATCGTTCATCGTTCTGTCAAACCAATAATATTGAAATATGATCTGTCATTTTTGAAATAAACCAATAAAACTGATTAAAAACAACAAGAGACGACGCATGACGGATTTATTTATAAACCCATCCATAGTTAACTTAAAAAATGTTAGAAACTTTTTTTAGTGAAATAAATGGATTGGTATGGAAGTCATCTGCTTTTTAGTTTAGTTTCAATAGTTTTAAAAATAAAAAAAGGTAATAATGAATGGGTTGCTTGTGCATAATACCACCCATCTCACCAAAAAGAAGATCCCCCAAATCCACCTGAACGTATCGGTACCCATCTCAAGTGGTGGTACTCATCACCATCTTCGTTGTTACCGCGCGTAGAAATGGTCTCGATGGTCAGGTGGGAGCCTCTTCTGATGGTGGGGACCCGTCCGACCGAAACTAGGTCTCTGGGTCTGCTGGAAGGTGGGTGGTTCAGTCGAGCTGCAATCGCACGGCCGCAGCAGCGCGTTGCAGTACTGCAATACCACTGGACTTCCGGCTGAGCAAGGTCGAAGCTTTGACGGACCCCGAACGAGCGACATCTATCGCGAGTTTGGTGATGGTGTGTTTGACGGTGACATGCACGCATGACATTTGGACCTGAATAAACTTGATTTTCGGTGTATTTTTTATGTTAGTCGTTCCAGTGACTAGAATCAGAAACAAGGCCTATATAATTTAAAGAACTTTTGGGCGGTAAAATTTTTGAGGTTATAGCCTGTCAAAAAAATATTAAAATCCTATTAATAAGAGATAATATAGACTAGTAACATTTATAAACTTACATGTGCGGTATGTTTCTCGGTTTGACTATATTTTTGTGATTATTTAAGCTCATATACTCGGTGGAGCTCAATTTAATCAAAACATGATTCTGGATTTCATTTGACACTTGCCAGTTTACTCTGATTTCCAGATAATCTATATATAAGCTGCAAACCTGTAAGTAAATTAGTTCTTATTAGTTAGTGGAGTGGGATATATGTTTGACAGTGACAGGAATGACATATGGACCTGAATAAACTTGATTTTCAGTGGTTTTTTTTTACTGTTACTGTTTTTAATTAATAAGAGCTGATGATATTAGTCGTTCCAGTGACTAGAATGTTAAATAACAATTACCTCATTTAAAAAGGTAGCTTAATTTTTTTTGCCGGTAAATTTATTGAGGTTATAGATAAGATATAATATACAGGGGGGCGCACCTCATTCGCCTCGGTTGATTATACGAAAACGGAAAGATGCAGGAACAAAAAATTTTATGGGTATATGTAGAGAGGCAATGTTCATAATTTAAAATTATTTTGAAATGTACAGGGTGTGTCAGAACCAAAGTTACGTTTTTTCTTATGGAACACCCAGTATTTTATTTCATTTTTGGATTCTTGGACATAAAATAAGGTATTTATTATAAGAGTTTAGTATGTTTAAAAGCTTTGGTTTTTGAAATATTTAAAGATATTTAAATATGCATGCTATAATAAAAAAGTTTGTCAACACCTCGTACATTACTTTTCAAAATTAATTCTTGTGCTGACTTTCAAGCGAGAGAAATAAACTTTACAAAAAAACTTGATTGCTTCCTTAAATCTATACAGGGGTATCAAAAATTGCTGGTCTATTATAAATATTTATTTTACATAAAAAAACTTCGATATTTCAAATGCAACACTCTGTATTTTTTTAAATAAGTCGAATCAGATTTAAATGCTCTTTCAAACTATTTTACGGTTTCCTATAGCCATCTAGTTCAGATTTTGAATAAAAAGCAATTTCTCAATAAAATAGCAATCAAGAGGACTGGTGTCGCCATTCCAAGTTGCTAGTGACAGTTAGTAGCTATTTCCAAAATCGACATTAGTTTTATGAACTTTATTTAAATTCATAACAATTTATTTGTATTTAATTTACCTACAATAGTTTAATAAGTAAGTATTTATTATTATATATTATAATAATAATTATATTATTATTAAATAAAAAACAACCTGCTCGTTGAAATAGTCGGTAAAGCTACAGTACGTCTGTCCGTTCTGTAGCTACGGGGTATCCGTGAGAGGGGAACGATATTCTCTCGATGTTTTTCGTAAAAAATTAGACGACGCGTCCCATCAATAAAAATTCGAAAAATTTGCAAGTAGCCAATAAAATGAGTGGGCGGAGCGATTTGCGGTGACGTACTCGTCAAGTCGACGTATAAAATATATTGCTGTTTATTTAAATGTTTTTTGATGAATGGAGCTTTACTGGGATCGAGTTGCTTAAAGCTATTCCGTTCGGAGTGACTACTAGTTTTTGCGGCTACGTCACAGAAGTAGTCTTCCGTTACCGGAGACCCGGTAATCTCGAACTGAGCCTTCGCGTTCACTTTTTGGTATTCCAGTTTGTCCTTGTACACAAGTTCGAAGTTGCCTGTATCGGCCCTGTTGTTTCTTGCATTGTCAACGACCACTGAAAATAAAATATTATACAGGGTAAAATTAAAGATATACTGGGATCAAAATCGCGTAGTCTATGTACCTTTGATGACGTCTTCTAGTACGTCCGGGCACATTCTAGACGTCACGGGTGTGGATGCGTGCAGGGCTGGGTTAGAGTTGATTTCTAGCAGCCAGGGTTGGAATGATTCTGTCAGCATAAAGTCTGCCCCGTAGAGTTCAAAACAATTTTTTCTTTTGTCAATTTTGTCTCTGTGAGCTATCATGGCCGCAGTGATGCATTCTTTCATTCCGGGGTATATTACATTTTCGTAGATGTCGGGGTAGCCGATATTTGACAGATAATTCTAATAAAAGAAAAAAAACTTTGGTTCAGAGGTTCAGGTTTGGCAAAACTGTTATTTGTAAATAACAGTTGAAACTGTTATTTGTAAATAACAGCTGAAACTCTTAATTATAAATAACAGTTTGGAATTAAATAACAGGTTTTTGTTATTTATAATTTTTTATCATTTCGACATAAAAGAAACTTTAACGAGAAACTGTTATTTTTGGATGTAACAACTGTGGAGAACTGTTATTTTTAAACAACTGCTGTAAAATAACGGCTCGTTAAACAACAACACGTCTCTAATAAAAAGTTTCCTTTATTATTTTTAACACAGAATGAAATAAATGGAACAAACATTAAGGGTGACCATTAAGAGTCTATTAGGCTGTACTGTTCGGGTCCTAAGGCTTTGATTAAGGCTTGATTAAGATTTACAGAGCTTCAACGTTTGCCATAAAATAGCGAACAGTTTATTACAAAACCAATAATGATCCAGCAGACGTACTGTACAGAAGCCGACGAAAATAGATAAATAAAGGTATGAAATCGACACCGGCGAAGACACGAGACTTCAAATAGGCAAACATTAAAACTACCGAACAAACACGATCTTTGGCATATAAATATTTAACGGCATTTTAAAAGTTTATTAACGCTTAACAGTTTTTCAGTTTGCATTCTGATTTGCACTGCATAATTTTTAATTTTCTATTAATAGGACAAAATTTGAACTGGTATGCCTAAAAAATGTTGATACCTGAAAATATTGTCCTATTATTTGGTGTAATTGAGTTGGCGTTGGAATTTTAGGTGTTACAACAGCAAAATAAAACACTAATTCACCACAATACACCAAAATACTTTACTTTTTACGCTGAACGCGCATTTTCTAAAATTTAGTGTTTTATTTTGATTACCTGTTTTACCAATTAATTGTCAGTGGCAAGCAATTACTGTAAAAATAAATTTGATTGTTTGACAGTCAATCAGCTTATTTAAGCTTATAACCGGAAAAAATGAAAAATCTCGAAATATCCTTATGGATTGAAAGTTAGCTGTCTAGCCGCTACCGGTTACTGACTTTCCACTCGCGAAAAAGGTAGAAAACTGGAATTAATCAAAGCGGTCTGTTCTGATTTTATTTGTATATGGATGCACCAACAGTAATTCAAGGATTATGAATTTTTTATGAAGTTAAAAAAGTTCGACTCGCGACTCACTCACCGTCATCAAAATAAAAAATTCTTATGGATTCAAAGTTAGCTTGTTTTTTACATTCTATGTTTTTCATGGGATTGCATTTACAGCTGCTTTTTTATCTGCTTTATATATGATCAAGCTCGCAAAACCGGTGTTTGGCCGTCCTGTATATAAATATTGGGACCGTCCCGGATGTCGTAAGAATTTGTCACAGGTTCTCTTCTTCTATAGTCCTCTTTTTTTTCTTTCGTCGGTTACGATGGTCATTATTTAAGTCGTTAAGCGAAAACAGAGAATTGCGAGACAGAAAAACCGGCACGACTGATTTGATTTCGGAGGCTTAATTGCGACCGAACAAGTAAAAAGACGATAATCATTACAACGATTAAAATTGCAGATTTTTTTCACGATATATATCTCTCTCACAGGAGGAGAATCATCTTCTTCTTAAGTTTTCGATTCTTTCATATTATTTGCTGGAACAATAATGAAATATTTGGACATTTACATTGGACCAGAATTCGTACAAATCTTTTTGCAATCTCATAGAAAACTTAAGCGTTTTTTTAATTCAAATTATTTTGAAGACTAGTCGTTTGATATTAACTCTTTATAGGGCAGTCTTTTTTATTTTCTAGTTTGATCAAATTAACTTCAAAAATATATAAGCCAGTACAAAAGGAACATATATTCTTAATAATATTTTTTACAAAGTTAACAAACAAGGGAGTGGGGTGGTAATGGTCGATTTTTCAATCTGAGACTGTTAAAGCAAATAAATAAAATGTAATGATCTAATGTATATAATGTATAAACTGTATGTATCATCCGATGTAAAAAAAGAATAAGTTCATTTTGATTATCTCTATTAGTTCTCTATTCAAAAATATGCCCTTATCAACTAAATCAAATTTTGTTTTTCGAGAAACTCACATCCTATGATCGAAAATATACAGGATAATATATCGGTGATATAAGAAAAATTATATTGACATTAAAAAATAGGTACTTAAATTGAATTTTGGCTGTCTTGACGGTTATTATTTTGATTTAAGACATTTTTCCACTTAATTCGCATCATCATTATTTAAATCAAAAATATACACTTACGTCATAAGAACGACTTAAATTACATTGGTTACTAACTAATTATTATAGTCTAGAAAATGAATAACTTTGAATTTTGACCGTTATTTTTTACCAACATGGCAAATATAAAATCCCTCTATCCAAAAAGTTACTGATATTCTTTAAAATGAGTGCCGGAACGAATCAGATAGGTAACTCTTTTTACTTTCGTGAAATAGAAAAGGAAAATAACAAAACAAGTGACAGTTCTTCCTCTTCTTGCAAAAATCAATGCGAAACTTATGCGAAATGTCATAATTGACAAAAGTAAAATGTCATCAGCCTTTGACATTTCTAAATATCAGACCCAGGCCGTCTCTAATAGAACAGCCTCGGAGCGAGATTTATGACGTCACGCTAGTTAGATACCACGGATTAATAAATATGTTGTAGAATACATGGAAAACATAACCTATTTATAGTAATAAATACTTTGGCAAATAAACTATGAACCATACAAATGCAGCAAATATTTTACAATATACCTACAAATAATGAATAGGTACATAAGATAATGGGTAAAATGTAAAATATATTTTAGATTTTGGGATTTGAAAATCGATCTAATTTAATAAAAAAACATGCAATATCTACTAATAGTGATGTATTATTATTTGCATTCACAAAATTTATATGTATATTTTGCAAGCATTAATGTTTAAAATATTATATTTGCAAATAATACAATATCATAGAAAAAAGGCCTTAGCGATGGCTCTGAAATAAAGATCGCTGTCATTTTATATGTAAAATTATTCTAAAATTTTTGATTTTTTTGGGACTTAGGTTCGGGAAAAACGCTGATTAAATTTTCATTTGGTTTTTCATTATTTTTTTTGGTTTAAAAAAAACGTTATAGCCTAAAATATATAAAATAAATAAAAAAAATAAACGTTTATAGCCTTCATCAGTGATGTGTTATATGAAAAAAATAGTGTGGAATATAATCCAAAAATTACATATACGAGGAATAATAATCATGTCTTCCATATTCTACAACATAATTAATCCGTAGTATCTAACTAGCGTGACGTCATATATCTCGCTCAGAGGCTGTTCTATTAGAGACGGCATTGCATCAGCATGGCCGCAAGTTGCTAACCTAATAAAATTTACACTAGAAAAGCCCGCGGGAACTGTCAAATTCAAAGTTATTCGTTTCACAGACTATATAAATCCATACAAAAATAATTCAGTATTAAAAATAGAAAATTATACCGGGTGCGTCTCAAAAGTGGCTCACCCCTATAACTTTTTTATTTTTTTAGGTAAAAAAACGAGATTTGGTATGTTGGTATATGACATAAATTAGGATTGATTGACGTATTTAATTGTTTTTGGTCACTTCCTGTTTCACCGGAAATGACTACAACTTTTGATTTTTAAATGACACCCTCGGTATTTTTTTACTTTGTTCGATAGTAAATAACACTTTGAATAAAATGACATATCATGTGTCAACTTTTGACATTTTCGCATATGGTTTATTTGAAATTATAACTTGCGGTTCGTAACGAAAATTTGACTCGAAATACCAAGTTTGTAGTATCAAATTATTCGTAAAAAAATGCTTTTTCCAAATATGCTAATGAGCCACCCTCGTTCCTTTTGAAAAACTTGAGATATTATTAAAAATACGATTTGAGCATTTTCTAACCGGCCAGGACAAGAGACTAAAAACATTAGACGATCAAATCTATTTTTCCAAGGCTCCTTGGTTAAGAATTAGTGTTTTTAACATAGTCAGGACACTCTAGATTTTTAAAATACGATTTTTTATTAAGCGAGAATGTCAAAAGTTGTCATATGATATGTCATTCTATTCAGAATGTCGTTTTCTATCGAATAAAGTAAAAAAATACCGAGGGTGCTATTTAAAAATCAAAAGTTGTAGTCATTTCCGGTGAAATAGGAAGTGACCAAAAACAATTGAATACGTCAATCAGTCCTAATTTATGTCATATATTAACATACCAAATCTCGTTTTTTTATCTGAAAAAATAAAAAAGTTATAGGAGTGAGTCACTTTTGAGACGCACCCGGTATATGTATGTAGAAAGTACCAAACTAGTCACTATAGACAATGGAACACTACATAAATACTAAACATTCCCTATAGTAAAAATGGTATAAGGTATTCTGTATTCTTAAAATAAATTGATGCTACTGTTTGAATGGACCATTAAAATATATCAGCGTTTGTACTAAGAGGTACGACCGCTTCGGGCAAAAGAGAAAATTTATCTAGAAGAACCATCTAGGTAAACTTTAGCCAAAGTTTACACACTAATCAATTCTCATTAGTTTGTACAGAGTGAGTCTCTAAGAAATACTCAACATCAGGTTTATTGCTTGAAATGTTACTCTAATAATTACTCGTAAAAATATGGGACTAATGATTATAAATAATATACTCCTCACACTCATGCAAAAAACGCAATGGAGAAATTTTCGGTTAAATTTAAAGTGTTATGTTTTTGTTACTTTTAGCTCTATTTTTATGAATTTTTATAGTAATATATGTATATATATATATATGTATATATATATATATATATATATATATATATATATATATATATATATATATATATATATATATATATATATATATATATATATATATATATATATATATATATATGCTACAAATTCGAGATACGAGCATTGGTATCTCGGAAACCGTAATAGATACGAAGATAGTTAAATTAGGGCAAAGTTGCGCCTTTGATATGAACGCACTGAAGATATGTTGACATTTGCCTTTGTTGTTTTGCTACAATAATTATCATTTTATGAGTTATTTATACAAAAACAACTAAAAAATATCAACCAGTGGATAAAAATCCATAATTTTTTAAAGAAAAAAATGTGAATTAAAATCAGAAAACTTACATTATGCATTTTTGCAACCCCTTTGTTTGCTAGCTTCAGTAGGACCAACAATTGTAATAATTTTACGTAAATGCTATTAAAACCACGTAAGCACCGCATTTAAAAGTTCATATCTCATATGAACACTATTAACATTTACGTAAATGGCAACGATTTGAATATTTTTCCTATTCAACTAATTACCACTTCATTTAGAAGAATTATCTTAGGAAAATAATTACTTAAAACTGCTAACTTTAAGTACTAACCGAAGTATAAGTATAATTTTTCAATATCTCTCTTTCTCGTATCTGTAGTTGCTTTAGAAGTTGAGACAAATGTCAGTGTGATGCAATCTTCTTTATTACAGTCATTTACTGGCTATTAAGCTATAGTACTAATTAGATAAGTATGTTTATTTATTAAATTAATGTTAGATATATGCAAAATAAAATATTTTGCTGATACAACTTACGATTTGTTGTATATCTAAATTATGATATTAAAATCAGTATAACGGTTTCATAAATTAGAATTTGTTGATGTTTAACCAATATTAAACTCAGTTTTTTTTCATATTGCAACTGTCAGGAGTCACCCATTACGCTGGGGTTATGTTCCTTGAAAACGCTGAAATGCACCAAAATCAACTGAAATACACCAAGCCTATAATAATACAGCATTACAATATTTAAAAATTTCGAACAATATACCGGGTGCGTCTCAAAAGTGGATCACCTCTATAACTTTTTTATTTTTATCATTTAAAAAAACGAGATTTAGTATGTTAGTATACCGTGCTGGCAACTGTTACTTTTGGGTCGGCATTTACATGTGTGGAAGTGAATCGCATAGGGATCTTATTAAGTCGGAGTGAGAGAAATGCGACCGAACAACGCGACGCGCGACGGTGTGCTGTTGCGGCGTTGCCGATACGCCTTTCCCTATCAAGTAAAGTAAAATCACGATCGCAAACCGCTTATTTTTAAAAGACTTTTTTTTCAAGAGATAACTAGATAAAATCATTAGACATGTTTCTGAGCATCTGAAATGGAATTATAAGGATATCTTTAAGGTGTCATTTTTTATAACGTCATTTTATAACATCAAAACGTCAGAAATCGCGATAATTTAAAATCTCAACTTTTTAACACATAACAGGCCATAACTCAAGAACCACTTTAGATATTGAAACTTTTTTATTTTTTAAGATCGGATATTTTACAATATGTTTACATAAGAAAAATTCGATAAAGTTTTTCCATTCAAAAATTGTAAACAATCCATCCATTTACTTTTAGAGCATAGCAATTTTCAGCAATCGTGTAATTTTTTTTATTGATAAACATTTTCACACACTGTCTACAAAGAAAACACAGCAATTAACAAAGTTCTTGAAAAAACTACAATCTATTATTTCTAATAGATTTCGTGATATCGATTTTTGAATTCAGAGTTTTAATAGCGCGACCACTATCGAACACCCACTCAATTCCACTTATTTTTACCAAAAATGCAAGTGTTTCTAGCTTGCACTTAAAAAAATTCAAGCTATAGGGAAAATTACAACGACTCGTTAATAAATAAACAAATTAAGTATCACGAGACGTAATTAAATTGTGAAGCTGAACGCATGACGTACACCTCTCCCTAGAACTTTAAGTACTGATAGAGGTATTGATTGGGTCACTTGTGTCTAGCCCTAGCAGGCAACTATTACGCCCGACCACTCACGTTAGACTTTTTGACAAACACAAATGAATTAACACCCTTCAAATAACCACGCTAACCAACCTGATTGGTCAAGCTTAAAAGTTGACTGCTAGGGCTAGACACTTCTATTGGGTCGACCGGTCAACTGCGACAAATCTGCTATATCCCCTTCCCGTCTCTTAGCGATGTGCACAGTTTCTCGGTTTATTTCATACGTTTGGCAACGTGTTTACTGTCCTCTCTTTGTTCGGTATACTATAAACGCCCATTGTATTCTTCTTACATACGGAAATCTCGACCCAAGACTAACCTTTGCCAGCCCTTAGTATACTAACATAATAAATCTCGTTTAATTATCTGAAAAAATAGAAACTTATAGGGGTGAACCACTTTTGAGACGCACCCTGTATACTGAACAAATTTAGATTTTTACGGAGTTTTTTCAGTAAACCTTGGGCACCTGCCGACGATTTCCACAATGTCGAAAAAAAAAACGCCGCGTGTCGTGTTTAAGCTTTATCGCGGTGGTTTTCTTTCTCCAGCGTAAATCAATATTTAGTTTTGTTAATTAACCTCGGGCCTTCGTTACGCCGATGCGCGTATATCTGTTGAATAAACATTATTAGCATTTCTTTGCTGTGGGGCTTATACCTGTATTGGCGACTTAAAAATATGAAGTGGGTAGTAGGTTTATCCAATTTCTCCTTTCGTTTAAACACTAGGTATAAGTTTAATAACGTTAAAATGAAAAATAAAAATTTTATCAAAGTTAATCATTGCGAACTTAAAGATCTATCGTGTTCCCCTTTCTTGCATAACTAACATCCAGATATCTTTACAAAACTAGTCTAATACAAATTTTAGACGAAAAATATCGTGATTATATTTGTTTTTACACAGATGGCTCGAAATCTGACCAAGGTGTTGGATGTGCTTTTTACATATATCCCTCTCCCTCTCCCTCTCCCTCTCCCTCTCCCTCTCCCTCTCCCCTCTCCCTCTCCTCTCCCTCTCCTCTCCTCTCCCTCTCCCTCTCCTCTCCCTCTCCCTCTCCCTCTCCTCTCCTCTCCCTCTCCCTCTCCTCTCCTCTCTCTCCCTCTCCCTCTCCCTCTCCTCTCCTCTCCCTCTCCCTCTCCTCTCCCTCTCCCTCTCCCTCTCCCTCTCCCTCTCCCTCTCCCTCTCCCTCTCCCTCTCCCTCTCCTCTCCCTCTCCTCTCCCTCTCCCTTCTCCTCCTCCCTCTCCCTCTCCCTCTCCCTCTCCTCTCCCTCTCCCTCTCCCTCTCCCTCTCCTCTCCCTCTCCCTCTCCCTCTCCCTCTCCTCTCCTCTCCTCTCCCTCTCCTCTCCTCTCCCTCTCCCTCTCCCTCTAACAAAGGATTTGATGACTCGGAGGATTAAAAGCTCATATCATTAGAGGTGAGTTGAATTCTCTACTTGAAAAACGTTGAATTTCCTGTCTACGCATTTTTTTTTTGCAAAAAATTTAATTACAGCAGGTAGGTTTATTTCATTATTTGAAACCGAATAAAATATCCGATTATTCTGATAACTACAAATAATTATTTTCAAGTGTTTATTATTGAGTTAAGTTTGATCTAATTAGTAGATAATCATTTCAATTTTGTCTGAATAATTTGGTTGGCCAATGTAAAACAAATATCTTACATTTTTTGATACAGGTAATGACGGTAGTAAAATTTTCAAGCATTTTATTTTAAATTAAAAATTGCTTGGATATCTGGTGGATTAAATTAGATATTTGCAGTTTATTACTTTTCGCTAAATGCACACTGTAGATTATTTATTTTAAAGGTACTGTACAGGGTGTCCCACTTTCGTGTGTTTTACAGGTTTTTTCGTTTATGAGTAAGGATACAAAGATGTACAGGGTCCAGCAATAGTGCGTCGGGCATCTATAGCTCCTAGAATAAAAAACTTGGGAATTTTGTTTAAGTACAAACCTAAAGTATGTACGAGTAGTACGAATTTCAGAAAAATATTTTAGCTTCTATAGGGGGCTCAAAAAAGTGTGAGTGAATCGGGATGATTTTTTTTAAATGGAACACCCTCTATATTATTGCATTTTTGGCTTCCTTTTAGAGCACTTTACATAATCACAAGATATGAGTAAAAATATTTCGGTAGTTTCAGAGATATTGATGAATAAATAATATATATATATACCGGGTGCGTCTCAAAAGTGGCTCATCCCTATAAATTTTTTATCTTTTCAGATAAAAAAAACGTATTGATTGACGTATTCAATTGTTTTTGGTCACTTTCTGTTTCACCGGAAATGATCACAACTTTTGATTTTTAAATGGCACCCTCGGTATTTTTTATTTTATTCGATAGAAAATGACATTCTGAATAGAATGACATATCGTATGTCAACTTTTGACATTCTCGCTTAATAAAAATTCTATTTTAAAATTCAATTTAGAGTGCCATGGCTATGTTAAAAACACTAATTCTTCATCAAGGAGCCTTGGAAAAATAGATTTGATCGTCTAATGTTTTTAGTGTCTTATCCTGGCCAGTTAGAAAATGCTCAAATCGTATTTTTAATCATATTTCAATTTTTTCAAATGGAACGAGGGTGGCTCATTAGCATATTTGGAAAGAGCATTTTTTTACGAATAATTTGATACCACACACTTGGTATTTCGAGTCAAATTTTCGTTATGAACCGCAAGTTACAATTTCAAATAAACCATATGCGAAAATATCAAAAGTTAACATATGATATGTCATTCTATTCAGAGTGACATTTTCTATCGAATAAAGTAAAAAAATACCGGGGTGTGATTTAAAAATCAAAAATTGTAGTCATTTCCGGTGAAACCGGAAGTGAGTACGTCAATCAATCCTAATTTATGTTATATACTCGTTTCAAATCTCGTTTTTTTAACGAAAAAAATAAAAAAGTTATGGGGGTGAGCCACTTTTGAGACTCATCCGGTATATATATTTTTTGTTTCAGCCTTTCTTAAAAAAAATATTAAAAATACAAGAACTGTCCTGAAATCAAAACTATATTAGGTATTTGCTTTAGATAGTCTATATTTACTGTGCTATAAATACCCTAATCTTAAATCATACGGGGTGTTTAAATTCTACGCCAAACTTTCTAAAATATAAAATATATTTTATATTTTCTTAAATGGAGCACCCTGTATATCATTTTTTATTAGATCGAGTGTAGTTTCCATGATGAGTAGTGGAGTACTAACCTAACCTAACAGTATCTTTGTATTATCTCTACTCATAAACGAGAAACCCTGTAAAACACACAAAAATGGGACACCCTGTAAATCATT